CGAACAATTAATGGCGGATATTGGCCAATGGACTCCATTCATTGGCCATCTATCAACGATATGCTGTTGCACTTGTGGTGCGCAATGCTGAAGATTCCCAACGCCGACGGCGACGCATTCCTTTCCTGGCGCAGGAAACAAACAACCGAATTGTTTCTTCAACTGGGTCCACGTCAAATGTCTGTACCCCGCAATACGGACATTTCAATCCACAACTTAACAGCTCTGTACCCGGCGCCCACCTTTTTCCCGCTAGCATCATCTCGTTTTACACGATTCCGAGATGAGTTTGTTTTTGCGAAAGCTCGAGACTCGAGGAAGTCTTTGTTTCTCAGTCCCGCTCATTGCTTGTTTCTTCGTTCCGACGCCGTCGTTCCCCGGTTGTGGACCAGGACTGGACCTAGGGGGGTGGACGGAGAACTTGGCCGGCACCGCGATCCCCTCTCCCGTTGAATGACCTCGATTTAGCCTGGAAGGGCCGAATCCAACGCCTGCCATTTTCCCGATCAATCTCCTCAGCCAATTGGTGTTTTGGACTCAACTCGACCTGCATAACTTCTGGGGGGAGAACAAGTTAACGGCGAAAACAAAGTGCGGCTGCTTCTGATCGTGGCGTTCTTAGCGTATGCCAGTCTCCACTTGAGCGGTTCCCACGCTGCCCTACCGGCCTGTCTTGACTTCCGTCCTTCAATTTGGGCTTGAACGGTCAATTGTCGAGCGATATCCAAGGACAGGCATCTAGCGAGAGGGACCAGAGCCTATCATTGACGACGCTAGGCTCTGTTCCCCGTGCGACTGCAGCGACGCCAGTACTCGCAACCGACTTCTGGCGAAGGGGCATCGGTACGCGATGCTCTGGAGCTGCCCAGTAGACGCTTGACCCGATTCGAAAGGGGCCCCAGCAGTGATGCTGCAATAACATCGATGTTAAGTCTAGGAAATCTCAAGCTATGCCTACGCGAGACATTCCACGGCCGCCAATACTCCCGAATCTCTCCTGAAGGATAGAGGCAGGAAATTCCATTGCGGTTAGCCAAAGCAGTGGATATCGTGGCCTGAATCGCGAAGACGGCGGGCAACCGCCGCCCTCCGGGTCCGGGACTCCACGCGGAAGAGGATTCACCGGCGAGAGAGCTGTGTTGTGCCTGGAGCTACCAGCTACTGATGCTGCTGCCACCGTTACTCTAGGCCGTTCATCCACCCCAAAGCCCTGCGTGCGACGTTCCGCAGGCACATACCTAGCTGACGTCGCAGAATCCACGGCCGCAACTACACGACGTTGCTTCGACAGTCGCTAGACGAGTGACAGGAGAGGCACCCTTCATCACGTTACGGGAACTGTGAGATGGAGACATGGTCAAGTCCCGTCTCGAGATCGGAGACACCCAGATTCCATCAGCTGAGTGTCCCGGTTGACAGCAGTGCTGCGAAGCAGCTCAGCACCCCAGGTATGATGACAAGTGACAGACAGCACTGACATGGCACACATGGCAACGAATTCGCCTCTTTGCCGCCTCCTTATCAGGGAACTGAGGACGAACTGGGCAGTTATGTCGCCTTCTACGTCGCCATCGCTGTCGTCCATCCGGGGCCGCCACCATCGGGTTGGCGCCCCCCTGTGTCTATCAATCTCTAGATCCAGACGGCGTGCTCCTCCCCGCCTCGATCGCAATGTCCGTCCGTCGTCCGTGTCTTCGGCGGAGGCGTTTTTGAAGAAGCGATGCCATGACGAAGGAACGGCAGGAGGGGCGCCGCCGGATGCCAGTCTCCAGAGAAGCTCTTCGTACGATTATGATGATCGGGCCTCAACCTCTCATGCCAGGACGACTCGCGCGAATGTCTGAGCAAGGTACTCTTGAAACCCTCTCCCCCTCCTCCGCTCGCCAGAGTAGTATTGAATCGCAAGATTCTTCCGAAGCAAAAGTGGAGCTAGAGTCGCAAGGACAAGAAACCTTTTTTTCGGCTCCTCGCCCCTTGGCTGCAATGGCTGGCAGAAGTCAGTAGTGGTGCACTGGGTGGGATGGAGACTGTATTCCCATCTTCTTTCCGTGTTCGATATCTGTCCACAGCATGATGAAATGGGCAGTACGACGTCGTCATCAAGCGTGTCCGTTCCTATTTTCTCCTGTCTCCAGCTTCACCTCCGTATCTGTCCACTCTTGGCTGCACTCCACTACTCTTCAGCAAAACGCAAAAAGCGTCTAGACGAGCAAGCCCGTCGTGGAAGATTACAACGTGGGTTTCTTTCCTCGCTGGCCACATATAACTCACGGCACTTGGACCCCTTATTCTCCACTCCCGTCGCTGTCGTGTCGCCCTGGCCTCGATCCCCATCCGGTTCAGACTTCCCCGAGTCCGTGATCCATGAGCTAGCCAGTCCAGCCAGGCCTGCGGAGGGTCGGTCGTCAAAAGGGAAGGACGCAGAGGGTAAGGGCTAAGGCTGGAAAGGAGCATCACCGCGAGCAGTGCCGTAAAGCCCGGAGATCTCGGGCCACATGTGATCGAGACTCTCGATATCTCCTCCTCTTGTTAACGTACGGTTTCTGCCTTTTGACGTTACGTAGGTAGCAACGACAGCGGACAAACTTCTTCAGCGATACGACATACGACGGCGTGGACAAGGCGGAGGCAAAAGCCGCGACAATGGGCGATGGGATTATCGCTGCTACCGCTACCTCTACACGCCACAGCTCAAGTCCATGAACAAGACGTCCACCTTCTTCGCGGAGTGGAGGGTGTCTGCTCGGGTTGCAGGCGTAGCGGCGATCAGAGCTTGACGGGCGGTACTTTTCTGACCCAGCTCTCTCCCCACGTCCCTACACGTTGCTATCCGCCGCCGTACTGCAACTTCCTTTCGATTCCCTGTCTTAAGCGACACGGTGACTTTTTGGGGCCTTGGATCTTGAGGCGTTTAAACTTGAAATGTTTCTTCCTCGGTGCTATAACAAATCACACATCACGCCCCCTCCCCCCTCTCCTCCTCAGACTCTTTCCACACGCCCCCCTAAATCCCCTTATTTCTGCAACGAGGTGAACAGTATACTGTAGCGAACTGTGTAGTGAGCAGTGCCCTACGTGCTTCTTCTTCGGATTATTTTTCTCGTCTTTTCTTTTTTCAGGCGCCGGGTTGCCACGCCTTCGGTGGTCCGCCGCCCCGTTGATGTACTGCATATCTCCCTCCCCCCGCCCGTCGTGGTCCCTTCGTTCCCCGTTTCGCGGGTGATTCGAGGTGCAAGAAGGGCCCGATATGCAGTCTGTGTGTTCTCATACGCGCAATCGTAACGCTTTCCTTGGGCCCAGCAGAGGCTGTCAGTCTTTTGAAACCGGCGAGGCGACGGAAAGTCTCCTCCGCATCCAGCCAGACGGGCTTCATTCCGTTACTAACAAGGTCTGTTGAATGGGGCATCTTTCAAAGAGGCTGGAGAGCTGGTGGCCTCGTCCGCTTCGACGATGCTGACGGGTTTTATCCTGCCGGCTTTTCACGTTTCTCCTGTCAGGGTCTGCCTCTTGGCCCGCCGCTCGCCGCTCGTCGATATTAGTCGCGAGAATGAGAACCAGAAGCAGCTCAAGGTACGACTTATCAATATACGCGCACACAAGCAGCAGCAGCAGCAGCGATGACTCCCGCGCGCGTGCCCTTTCAGGGTGGTGGTGGTGGTGGTGACCGGCAGCCCTGCGCTACGTTGCTCTTGACCCTCCTTCCCCCTTACCCCCGGCGGAGGTAGTAGCCGTTCAAGTTCACCACCCTTGGGCAAGGTCCTCCTCTAGGGGGGTGGGTGGGATCCTCCGGCCGCGACCTTACTCGCTGCTCTGTTAAGACTCTTGGATTAATAACTCCCCTCGGCGATGGGGGGGGCTTTCTTTGCGTATATATCCGGAGCAGATTCATGTATAATGTGAATGTGCTGTATATGTGATGGGGGAAAAGGGGGCCGGCTGGGAAACCGTGGTGGTAAGGGGTCCTGGGAGGGTTTTGACTGCTCCAGTGTCTGTAAGTGCAGAAATGTGTGTGAGAGACATGTCAAAAGAGACGGGAAGGGGTTGAAGCCGTAGACTTAGCTATTGGATTGAGTTCAACAATGCGTTGGGCGGTTCTGATCATTCTTAACCCCGGGCCTGTTGAAGACGTTAGCCGTAGAATGACTCACATAAGACGGGAGAATACATTCAAGAGATACTAGGCACGAACGTGGGCGACGATTGAGTTCTTCGTGGCTTTCCTTCATAGCACCTTTCCGAATCGTTTCTCTGTCACATCTACCCTCTGCCTCATCGTACAACCGAATCTGTGAATATGCTTTCTCATCACTTCCACTCCCCTCGAGAACAACATCCTTTCCCATATTCACCCTCTCGATCCAAGGGGCCATGCTCCTTCTCATCTCCCCCTGGCATCGAGAGCCAGCCACCACTGCCGTCGTCGAATCCAGTGACAATAGAAGGGTCCGGACAAGGAAGAGTATCGAATTTGCCACGGTTGCGGTATATTACACCGACAAGTCTCTTAAGGACAACGATTCGAATGTCTTTTTGGTCCGACATTTCGGGGAGGGGCGAGGCGGCTTTTTTTGCTTTCTGTCAAACCGGTGGTTTGATCTCCGAACCGAGATGATTTGGGACAGGGTTTGGACGGCCACAAATCGTGATCGATCGGTTCGGGATGGGAGAAATTTGTCCGTTTGGATGGGGCCATGGGTTCGTTGATATTGGCAAGTCTGGATGGTTGGGCTGTTGATGTCCAATCTTCCTGACCGGATGTCTTCCGTCGGAAAGGGGTTTTGGACGGCGGATTGGGTTGGGTGGTTGTACACAACACATCTCCCATCATCACGATGCAGTGTGCGACACGAAGTACGTACGTGATCAAAATTACAATTCATGATTCGCTATGGTGTGAATGCTCACGCTTCTGATATCGATGCCAGAATCTGTCTAACTCTCCTGAATGAGGTATGTGCAACAAAAGCCCGCCCTTTCCTCCCGTGTCGTTAAGGCGTCAATCAGGCCCAGTCGTCATCGCTGTCCTCCTCGTCCGCCAGCGCCATCTGTACGAAATTCCGTATCCAAGCCTCGTGCTGGGGGTCGAGCTCGCCCTCGCCGATAGGTCCTCCTGCTGCTGCTGCAGCGCCGTTTCCTCCGTTTCCACCTCCTCCGACAGGCACTCGCGGCGCCTGATTCTGGTTCTGGTTCCTTTGTTGGTTCTGTCGACGACCACCCCGAGCATCCGCGCCTCTGTTTCCTCGCCCACGACCGCCTCGCGGCTGGTATCCTCCTCGTCGAGCCGCCGGCGGAGCTGGGGCTATCGGCGCAGCGGGAGGGACGGGACCGTGACCTATTCCTGCGGCAGCTCCTCCTCGACCACCACGAGGAGCCGGATCGGCACCTATGCGCAGGACGAGCGGTCCCTCCCGAGCAACGCCGCCCGCCGGAGGGCGCGGCGCCTGTGCGCCCTCGTTCTCGTCTGCTTCTGATTCGGTATCGTCGGGCTCTTCGATCTCAGGAACGAGGTCCACGATCTCGACGGGCTGGGCCAGCGGCACCGGCCGCATACCGCCAGCAAACCCGACATCGACGTCGTCGCCATCGCCACCTTCGAGCTCCCACAACCGCATATAGCACGACGTGAACTTGCCGTTGGGCTGTTCGTTGAAATGGGCGTAGGGGTTCCTCGGGTCGAGCCAGGCCGAACAAAGGTAGCAAAAGTGCGAGGCGCAGCGGAAGCAGATCATGTGGTTGCAGCCGTGAGTCTTCTGCGCCGGCACGCCACACGTCGGGCACGGCGTCGTGTGGAGGTTGATGTAGTCGATCGAGGCCTGCTCCTCGGTTGATATCTCGCCCTTGTCGCGCTTGGGAGTGCAGCGGTAGAACTCGCCGTGCCACGACTGAAAACAGCGGCTGCAGAAGGCGAAGCCGCAGTCTTCGCAGATGGCTAGGAGGTCTCCGATGTCGAAGTTGTTCTTCTTCGACTTTGCCTTGCCGTCCGCACCGGTCTCGCCTTCTTCGTCCGTGTCCTCGTCCGAACTCTCAACCTCCTCCAAACCCTCTGGTTTCTTGTGCTTCTTCGATCTCGCGGCCCCGTTACACCATGATCGAGGGCAGTAGATGGTGTTCTTGTCCGACTCTAGTTCGTTCTTGTATTTGAGCGTCACGTAGCGCGTCACTGTTTCTTGGGAAAGACCCATCTGCAGCAGTTCACTGGGGCTGATGGCAGTTTTGACCTTCCGCTTCTTCGTCTTGCCGGAGGCGGTTCGCGTCTCTGCGCGTTCTTTGGCACAGTTGGGAGCTAAGCAGCGGACGGTTGCGAGGTCTCCCTCCGTGATGGCATTATCGTAAAATTCCTGCAAGCACTGGGTACAGAATATGTGCCCGCAATCGAGCATCTTGTGGCACATTGAGCCTTTTTTGGGATCTGTCCAGGTGTCAGCGCAAGCAAACGTTTGCCTTCGTAGATATGCTCACCCAAGCACACGCCGCAGTCGAAGGTTTCCTTTTCAAACGCAACGCGGGCAGCCTCGATATCGTAGTCCAAGATGGCAATCTTGTGCAGAGGATCAATCTCCAGCGCGCCACTTCCGTCCACCATCCCGAACACCTCGTCCGAGGCCTGCTGCACATGGTCGATATATGTGAACGCAACCATATCCCTGCCCATCTCCTCCCACAACCGCGGGCCATCATCTTCCAGTCTTTTGGTGGCATCTTTCGAAAGCCATGGTGGCGATGTGCTTATGCTAACACTCGGCGGCTTCTCAGAGGGATAGCCCTTGGGCAAAGATATGCGCACGGCGACGGACGGCAGGTGGGACAGTTCGTGAGAGTCTACCCGGGGGTCGACGCCGGGGAGCTGGGCGGCGACAGGGACGTCTGCATTGGAAGCAGCCGGAAACGTGACCGTCACGGGTTTCGCGGGGTGGACTGGTAGCTGGATGGTGAAGCAAAAAGGGGTATTATCGTCAGGTTCGATCTCGGGGAAGATGGCCTGGAGAGAGCTGAGCTCGTCGTGGCGCGGGTCGTCGCTGTCGGCGTCCATAGTTGCTACCTGTCGAAGATGCTGGATATCATACTTTTCGACGGGAGGCGATGCGAATTCAGAATGGAGGAGGAGCTGCAATAGTATTGGAGAGGTGCGGGAGTCTGCTCAAGCTCGGCGCTCCACACAAATCAGCGATAAGCACCGCGAGATATTTGAACGGAAGGCAAGTGGCGAGCGAGGTCGGGCAAGGATTTGGTATTATTGAGATCAAAGAAGACGGTCGCGGAATCCGCGAGAAGAGCGACTGGCTATAAAATGCTCATGTTCAAAAAAAGGCAGCTGTCGTAGTCGTATGTGTTTGAGTCGCGGGTTCTGCAGGAAGCGCAAGCCCGACACAGAAAACGGCTGACCGATTTGTTAATCAAATGATGACTCTTTGCCGCACTGCATCGCGGGGCAAAGGGGAGAAGAAAAAAAATGGAGGGGGGTTTTCCTTCTGGAACTTCGCCGAGTGACAAACCGAACTGAAAGGGTCCAGGCCAAGGCAGCCACAAGCCACACACAAAGCCTCACTAGCGGGGCAGACAGCTCCCGATTGGCTCGAGCTCGGAGCTATGCAACCTGACGTATTATGCAAATACGGAGAAGGAAAATGGACATGCGGGTGCAGGTGCAAGTGCAAGTGGCAGGTGCAGCAAGCCAGCGCAACGGCCAGCACTTTGACATTTCAAGAGTGCTGTGCACCACGAATCCGCGACGTACGCTCTAACTCTACCAGCCCCTGGGCCGAGTCGGAATTTTCTCCTACCTCACGTCCAACAACCCTCTATTGAGGCACATGGAGTTTTCAAACTGAGCTTTTAAGAAGTCCAAATATCCGGAGAAAGACCCTCGAAGATAGCTCAGTCGTGGCTGGAAGATTCGCCGAGCTGAAATCATGGACCAAGACACCAGGCCTCTGGCCTCTCTTTCCCTCACACATGTCTACTATGTGAGTTACAGCTTCCTGTACCTCATTCTTCCACAGAATACTGACCGAATGTCTTCTTCAGGACCCCGAAGACCCTCTCTCCTTCCTCTGCGCATGGCTTGCCCTGCTCCCGCAAGCCCTCTGCATCGTCTACGCGACTCTGATATGGTCGACCCGCGAGGTCGAGATCGCCCTCATGTTCGCCGGCCAGCTCGGATGCGAAGCCCTGAACTTCGCCCTCAAGCGCCTGATCAAGGAAGAGCGGCCCCGCCGTATTCACGGCAAGGGCTACGGCATGCCGAGCTCCCACGCACAGTTCGTCGCCTACTGGTCCGTCTTCCTCGTCCTGTTCCTGCTCGTCAGGCATAGGCCGTCCCCTGCGCGGAGACACCACCGGCCGTATTCGCTCGTCGAGCGCGTCGTCGTCAGCGTTGCGGCTCTGGTGATTGCGGCCTCCGTTGCGTGGAGCCGCGTGTACCTTGATTACCACACGGTGAGGCAGGTCTTGGTCGGATGTCTTGCCGGTGCGGTGAGCGCTGTGGGCTGGTTCATGGTCACGGCCTTCGCTAGGGATTTTGGATTGTTGGCTTGGGGCCTGCAACTACCCATTGCGCGACTTTTCAGGTTCCGGGATCTGGTGGTTGAAGAGGATCCGTGCCAGGCTGGATGGGACAAGTGGGAAGAGAGGAGAGTGGAGAGTGAGAAACGGAAGAGTAAATAATTAGTCCAAGACCAAGTGATAAATATTTAGCAGTACAAATGTAGCACATATCAACGGAATGCTGCAAATTTCTGAATGGAATGTACCGAGTGGTAGTGTGCCTCGCACAGATTGAAAGTCACATGAGGGGTAAGATCGTTTGGTTTGAGCTCTTTATCCATTGAGCTATCGTATCAGCTGTACTATGAGAAGCCTACTACTGTGGCTTTTTTTGACCTCCGCCCGCCAACGTCAAGTCCGTCTCGTAGCTATTCGTGCCATCGTTCTTATATCCAGAGTTTATGCTCTCAAGCCCCGTCCTGCCCCGGAATCCTACACTCTTCCCAATAAAGCCTTCCGTCCCAATTCGTACACAATGCACCATGTGCATTGCGAAGAGATAAAGAAACCAAACAATATGTAGACGTTATATGTCATACAGGTATCTCCGCAAAAGAAACGCCATCCAATGTAATATGAAATAAGAAGAGAAAGTTATCGCCATCAACTCCGTTCTGTGGCCGTAAGGTCGGATCAAACGCTTTTAACCGCCCGTCTATTTTGTCGCCCAACACCAGAAATGCGACCCTCAGATCCAGTCACGCTTGTCGTGGACAGCGTCACACTGGCAGTGCTGCTTGGTGCACTTCACTGGGGTCTTCTTTCGCTGGGCGGGAGTGTTGAAGCCAACACCCTGAGGGCTCGTGACCCTCGTCTTCTGGGGGCTCTCAGGTCTGTAGACAGCCGGGCTCAGGGTGAGCTGCTCGCCCTCTTCCTGCTTCAACTGCGACTGTCTTGGTACAGTGACCTTGGGAGCAGCAGGAAGTTTCTTCTGGCGAAGGTCCTTCTCCGACCGGACAGGAGACTGCACGAGCGTTTCGTCCTCCTCAGAGTCTGAGTCGGAAGACGAGCCACTGTCGCTGACAACGTCAACCTGAGCCAAAGGGCTGGGTCGCTTCGAGACCTCTTCATCCTTGGGGCAGTTCAGGTTGTGAACGCTCTCGTTGTTCTCAAAGTACTGAGAGTTGAGAGGAGGCATGTCGTCAACGTTCGACAGGCGAAGGCCGATCTGCACCGTTGCTGACGATGCCATGGAAGAGTCGCGACGATGGCGGATGCCCTGAGGGTGGATTGATGGCGGCGGTCTGAGGAAGAAGACGTCGTCATCATTGTTCATGTTGGTGGGAGAGTAGGTTGTGGCCGGTAGTAAAGTAATAGACTTAGTGCTGTTGTTGTTGTCGGGCGGGAACAAGGAGTAGGACCTCTTGCGAGCGTGGCCCATGGCCTTCGGCGTTTGATACGTCGAGACCTGGGCAGGCTCGGGCACCCGAACCGGAGATCGTGTCGGCTGCGGGTATACAGCGTGTGATCGGAGCGGGTTGGCATAGGTTGGAGAGTTCGAAGGGCTTTCGATACGAGCCTCTTCTTCCTTCTCCGGCACCAAACTATCGGTGCTGTCCATACGCTGAAGAGACCGTGCCCGGCCAACAGGGTTCATCATGTGATGTTCGTAGTCGTCACCACCATTAGGAGCCCAGACACGGATTCCGGCCTTGAGCTTATCACGCTCAGATTCCCACTTGTCGCGGGGTCCAATAGTCGACAGTGTGTTCGAGCGCAAAAACAGGTGCAGACCGCCAGTCATTAGGCCTGAAACGTTGGCAACGACGGAGGCGATCATGGACAGAGTCAGGGCTTGGCCAGTGGCGCCCCGTTGCTCAGTGAATGAGAGGTTGAAGAAAAAGGGAATAAGGAGAGTCTAGAGGACGAGTTAGCATTCGAAGTAGCGAATGGCAGAACGTTGTTCTTACGGTCGAGATGAAGGCGATGGCAAGAAAGTACACCATTCTCGAAGCAGCAACACGCTCGGTATTCTCGATTCTAGCGTTGTTGTGCAGTCTGAAGAAGATGACCATCATAGAGCCAAGCAGCGCCGCCGAGATCAAGACGAGGAGAGCAAAGCAGCCCTCCTTCCATCGCTGGACAAACCAGAAGAGAGAGGCGAAGCAGAAGTTGGGAGGGCGAACGAATAGTGTGACGAGGTAGGTGATGAGGAGAAAAGTGCCGACAATGGCTAGGCAGATCGTAACGTTCCACTTGCCGCGAGTAGGCAAGGGGTTCTTTCGTAGAGACCGAATTGCCACTTCGAGGGCAAAGACGAGTTGAATGTAAGGAACGATGAAGACCGCTGGAATTCGTTAGTGACCTCCGTACACAATCCAAGACTCGATACGACATACCAGGCAGCATCATTTGGGAGGTGATAGTGCAGCCAAGGGTCAATAAGTGGTCGAGTCCAGTCGACTGAGCGACGGCGAATACGATGCCTTGCACCACGATTCCGACGGACAGAATAAGAGGGAAAGATTCGGCGGGTCCGATGAAGGTGAAGCCGTGAGTTCTGACAGCATGTTAGTCGGAGCCCTCCTCCATACCACCCGTTCCTAGCATACCTGAAGCCGAACTTGGGGTTGTTCCTCTTCGCGGAGCCATAGCTGTCCCAAAAGATTCCAACGGCGGTGGCGAAGGCGGCAATAACGTTGAAGACGGCGAGGATAATAGTCGAGGTTCGGATCGATTTCGCAGACTGAAAGCGGAATTGGTTGATCAAAGCCGACGTGGAGGCGTTGGTAGCCCTGAGAGGCCCTCGTAATGAAGCATCGCCATCGTAATTCGTTACGCCCTCGGCCCGGGGATCCAACCAGCCCCAGCTATCCATCTCGTCGATTATTCACCTGGCAATGGTCGAAGAGATGAGTGCAGGCGTCGAGCCGCAGCGGTGCCAGATATTAAATCGCCGTCCGAACCATCTAATCCATAGACCTGTCGAAGACGTCCTCGTGGGATACGGTTGTAGAGTAATGGGCGAGAAGGGAAGAGTAGCGGATGGAGATCGAAATCGAAGCGGATGGGATGGAGAAAGGAAAAGAGTAGGTGAAAAGACTGGATGGATTGTAGTAAAGGACTGGCGCTCTTGGACGAAGAAGCGCGGACCAGACGAAACAGACACTAGGCAAAGTCGGGACCTACGAATAGAAACAAGGAGCATGTAGGACCAGCCACTCAAGAGAAGGGAAAGGGACCGGCCTGAAGGGAGGAAAGACCACTCACTTCCAGAAGTCGGGTGGCTGAGGGAAGGCCGCATGAAGAGGTCAAAAGGCGATCACAGAAGCGTGGAAGAGAGCGAGAGAGACCCAGTAGGGGGCCAGCAGGGGAGAGGCTCGGGAAGGGCCCCCGCGCGGGCCAGATGAGGTCCGGAGAGTTAGCCAAACCACTAAATGGGGCCCAAGTCCAACCTTGGGCCAGGGTAGCACGGCTGATGGAAGTGGGTGTGGCCTACAAGGAAGACGGGACCAGACCGGGGGGGCACGAAGACGGGTTATCCAGATGGCGAGGGAGAGGGTCGATGGTGATGGTCACAGAGATAGAGAGAGAGGGACGAGAGCGGACGAATGAGAAGCAATCTGCACCTCAGCCCGGCCCGCGACTGGACGATGGACGTGAGGGGCTTTGATGGGGCGGACGTCTCTTGACGTGCATGTTGCTGGTTCCAAGGTGACCTCGAGGGACCACCAAACGGCGACGTAGCTAGTCTTGGTCCTCGTCTGGAGGGTTCAGGCCAGGGTACCAGGTAGGGCTCGGCGTGGGATGGCGACCAAGTTCGTCACGACCCCGTCGACTTTGGCTGGGCTGGTACCCGGTCCATTCGTCTCTTTCGAGTCTCTCAAGCCCCTTGCCATCCAACGAGAGCAAGGTGGTGGAGGGCTTCAGAACCGGGGGAGGGGGAGACGAGGTGAGAAGCAGCAAAGATAGTGGGCTTCGTGCCGTTGCTCGTCGCAATGGATCCGGCACGATATGCTCGGGGGACGAAGCAAGAGAGCGCAACGCAACGCAAGGCAACGCAACGCAGTGCAGCAGTGAGGGCCTTGGTGTTGGAAGCATTGAGTGGCGATGAGATGAAGCAGTGATGTAACACGTCTGGGTTTCGTAGTGTCGCCCAAAATGCCCGAGCCCCTGGCAGCGATGTTGGGCGAGACAAGGTTTGACTTGACGTTGGACTTGAGCCCCAAATCTGGGGGACACTAGGAAAAAACCTTTGGATGCTAGTACCGATATGGCCTAGTGCGTGTTGCCAATCAAGTGGATCAAACCGCCGCAGGGGTTCACGGTTGTGGAAGGGGCGGCTATCAACGTTGCCGAAACCTTTTTTGTTCCCTCCTTTCCCCTTCGCCTACTGTTTTGCCCTGCCTGCGTCCCCAAATCGACTCCACCTCTACCAATCCAATTCCGTCCCTTCTGATAATCTTGTCGGCCTGGTCTGGTGTGTCTCCTGTGCCTGGGAAACAGGTGGGTGTGGTGGTGTCTACCGCCCGATGGATGCTGGGAATCGCCTCATCATATCGGCAGAAGAATTTCGGCTGTCGTCCATACGACGAGCACCACGACATCAGTCCTGTCACATTGTGCCCAACAATCACAGTACGCCCACATTCCCTGGAGGGGCGCAGACCAACGGCATAGCGAATCGAGTCACGCACTGCAGAACACGAATTATGCCGCATCCGAGCTGCGGTCGTGAGGCGCACGGCGAAGGCGAAGGCCAAGTTTTCTGCCCAGTCGGATAAACAGAACTGCGGGTACGGAGCAGCGACTGGGCTTTCGTCAGGCTCCTCGCACTAGCCCGACAGCCCTGCTCACGGGATGTTTCTGCCAGTCGGAGACCGTGGCCACCACCAGCTATCTTCGTCTTGCACGTGTCCCTCGTTGCCACGGCGGTCGGCATTGCCAGGGCTGTCGTTGTTCGACGCTTCCACACCCACAGATACCCTCGAGCCAGAACGAGAACATCGGACAGGATGCCATGGCCGTTTCCCAGACTGTCTGGTCCTCGGCCGGCCCATGTTGGGCGAATCAAGTCTTTCAATGGGTGATCGAGTTCGTCTGTTTCCACAGATTCTCAGGCGATGAGGCAGATGCTGTGTCATCTGAGCTGAGATGCCCTGCACAACGGGGCTCTGACGGAAACTCGACCACAAGGATTCATGTCCCTCGAGGCCCTGCTCAGCTGTGAACAGACTCTTTCTCCTCTCCACACTTACATCAGGCTAGACCCTCAACGGCTAGGGTACGTTGCTTTGACGACATCAAGCCCAGATCTGCCTGGCACATCACGCCTGATAGGCCCGCACCAAATGTGACGGCGTTGCGTCTTACGACCTGTCAAATACGATGAGAGATGGGGGAGGATTGTGCGAACCGTTGAGAGGCGCAACGCACGAACGCCCTCGCTTGACGGCGGCACGGCGGAGACGGACGGGCGATCCATCGGCTTTGCCACGAGACAGACGCCTGCAAAGGTATGGCGCGTCCGTCGCCATCGTGACGATCATCACGTCAATAATCGTTCGCCAACTCGCTACCCCTCTTCGACCGACCACGACTGATACGATCTACGAAAAGAGGGTCTTCCAGTTCGCCCTACGATGACAGACAGAAATTGCTGACTCCAAGGCAATGGACAGCATGGAGACAAGCTTAGGAGCTAGTCAGTAGTGCGACACTATTCTTCCGAAGACAAGAGTGGCACCAATCTGGATTTGGTGCCAATGGCCGTAAAACAGTGCAATTTATCTCCAACAAGTCAACCCTACAGATATTGACGGTTTGGTGGTCTGGGGCGCTAGTGCAACCTTCAAATGCAAGCTTGGCTGCGTAGCCCCCACTGCAAAAAAATGCTCGCGGACACCACGCGCCCGATGGAAGATGGTTGCTCCGAGATGAGTGAGGGACTGCGCGGGCTCGAGCCCGTCCTCTTCCGCATCCTTGGGCTTCCCGCCTGTCCGGGGAGACCCACGTCCGTTGCTGATCCGGTCCTCGTCGTCGATCAAACGGACATTCAGACTGACTTCAGGGGAGGGACTTTCAACTTGTTCGCTGCGTTCGACATCTTACGATGTCCAATTATAGCGGCCGTAACCGAGTCTCACCCGAACTCGCTTGCCTCTTCGAGAACCCTCTAGTCGCTCAATTAGGCGATTCTGGGTATTGTGCCGTCTCTCCCGGACAGCTTCCTGGGGTTGGAGAAAATTTGTTCTTCAAGATCAACGAGCCAGCTCGCCTAGCATACGGCTTCAGTAACGTCATGAGTGGCGTTGTGTAGGGCTGGCTACGTAAGGTCGAGAGCAATCACCACATTGCTTGGCACTTCCGCCACCATTGCGCCTCTCAGCGTTAGCAAGTCTTTGGAATGGGGAGATTGGGAGGCACATACGGCGACAGCGGACTGTCATCCAAACTACGCTGTCCCCCATTCCTGTGTTCCTTCGTCTCCTTCAAGAATTCTCCTAATTCCCGCGGATTGGGGTCGTCCAATGTCTTCTGACAGGTAATGTCCACAGACTCGTCTGAAATCAGTGCGAAGGCAGTTGCAGTGAGCTATTCTAGGTCCGTTGTTTCATCTCAACAGCCATCCGCACGCTTCGAAAGCCACCTGTCTCCACGGAAAGTAGGAGCGAATCGCAATCAACGAGCCTCTCAGGTTCTTGTGGCCGTCGTACAAGCCAAACGCTTCAGAGTAAGACGTGGTTGTCGTCACTTGAAGTATTACCCTTCCCATTGGAACTGAATTGGCGATCACCGGCAGAGATTAGACGATCAATGAGTCGGGCACGCAACTGGCGTACTTATCATCATCATCGGTGTTTTACCCGGAGTTGAGTTGACATGTGCTTGGCCTCCACGGTTGATTCGTCATGTCGTCGAGAAGGCGATTCAGCAGGTCGACATGCATTGTCCTTGGCAAATAGCTGGGCATTCAACACGGAAGTTGAGATGACACTTTTTTCCGTGGCGAGGATAGCCTCAATGATAGCCCCCGCATCGTCGCTTTCTTCAACTGTGCAAAACCTGCAAACCCACAAACCCACAAACTCCCAAAGCGGAGATCTCAAAGACCGGATGTTGTTTTCCTGTCGGCAGGACTCCTCCGTCAAGGACCTTGGCCAATCCATAATTTTCACTCACTTCGTGGAGCAGATAGAGTGCTGTTGGCTCCTGCAGGGGAACGCGATAACGAAGTAGGTCGTCAACTGACTCACGATCGGAAAGTTCTTACTCGAGGCCTCGTCGACACGGCAGCATTGGGCGGCATGCCGTCGGTTGGGCCAAGAGCCGTTCGTGGATGGCAGACGGGCCGAAGAACGGCAACGGCTTTGGACGAGATCCCACCGGCCATCGCGTTGCCGTCGCCGCCGCGTGTTTGCACACCTCTCTTTCACACTCTGGCCCGGATCTTTGATCTTTACAAACCGGATTGTTGTAGATGCCATTCTCGAATAAGGTGCCGCATGGAGGGGGATGGCTGTCTTCTCAACCTTTGGATATCCGACTTCGCCAAAGAGATGGCATTAGCCAAGAACAGTGCCCGAGTAAGTCTAGTCCGCATGTCACCGACAAGTCGGAAGCGAGAGTCTTCATCCGGTCAACGCAGCCAAATCCCGGCTTGTTCTCAAGTCAACGTCCAAGATAGTATTCTGATCTAAAAGATATTGAACACCGCGCTATCAACATTGCAATATCCATCCGGTCCGAATTCGGGGCATTTCTTGCGCAACGCCGCCTGCGGTTGACGAATTGTAGATTGCAGTCGTCTAAACTCGGATTCGCACCGTCGGAGTCATCCACCTTGTCCATAGCAAGAACGGTATAAGAGAGACTCGTCAATTTACACAACGAGTCAAGACACCATCGACAAAGACGCAAACATCGGATAAACGTGACGAATTGACTAACATCAATATCTCCTCCGGCTTTGACGCGTATGCTATAGCTTACGACACCGCGTGGCGACTTTGACGAGTTTTTCATCTTCGCTTGATGTTGCGTTGCTCTCTCCCTCTCTCAGCTGATAGATTCTCGAACGGTCTTTTGAACCGCACGTTGTGACAGCGAGCGAAAGGACCAAGTGTTCGGGGTTTTGGCCCCCAAGGCGTCGCGCCGGGCATTCGTCAACCTCGCATATCCTGGTTGCCGCTTTAGTCGGCCCCATCACGACTCCACGTACGCACGCACGACTCAGCGAGAGATCTCAACGAGAACCTCAATTAAACTAGTTGATAAACTAAATGTTCATTTAGATTAAAGTAAACGAGAAAAGAAACAAGGAAATTAGGTGCGTGATGGTGAGTTGCGGCATAAACTCTACGGTGGATACTGCACGATACCATCGACGAGCAAAAACAAAAGACATACAACACCAGGTATTCGCTGGTCGTCACCGACCCAACTACTAATCCGGCCCTCATTGGCTTGTCTATGGGAGAGCGGACGGGATCCCGAATTTTCCAATGGGTATGGTCGTATGTAACAGTTTCCGACGGTCAAGCTGTCCTTGTAGCAAAGCGAGCTCCAGGAGATTAGCATCGCAGCATACCAAGCGCACCAGGAAGGAAGAGGGCAGTTCTTGCGGTGATTTGAGGCAACTAGCGATAAATCGAAGTAACTTTCCAACTAGGTGTGTAACTCGACGTTGATGCGACGGCACGGATATCTCCCGTCCTTGAGACGAGATGAAGTTGGCCAGGCCAGACGATATCACAGCGCGAGCCCGATAGACCAGACGAAATGCAAGTGAGATACCATCTTAAGCTAGTCATCCGAAAAAAGGCTCCTCGAAACAAGAACATATACCACCCTTTTCGTGAGAGTCCTATCGCAACATGAAGTCGACAGCCATCCGTTCCGTACAAGCCGAGCTCCACATGCTGATCCGACCAGACTACCTACCTATGCACCCGATGGACGATCCGTCTTGAGAAGAATCTCACATCTTTCAGAGATTCCGCTTGGTGAGTTGTGAAACTGGTTCGTCGAACATCGCAACCGGGTGCTGGGACGTGTACTGACACACCAGACAGACGCCCACATACCGATCCGATCTCTCAGGCCGGCCCCCCTTCCCTCGCCTGTCGTCAGAAGAGATCCATCTAGGAAGATCGTCCCCTCCCGTCCGAGAGTGCTGGATTTCCCATTACGGAAAATGTTCATCTAGGCCTCCACATGTCGATCATCCGGAGCACCCAAACACCAGGCCGTCCTTTTTTTTTTTCCTCCGACAAGGCCGACAAGGGAAGGTTTGGATTGTGCTTCCGGGGAAGCGCTCCCGTAGCCGCCTTCGGTGTGAGGTTACTGACAAAGGCTAGCGAGGCAGAAGAACGAGGTCCACAGCTGATTTTTGTGTTACAGAAACAAGTGGTGCTGAGGACTTCTTGGGGTTTGGGAGGTTTGGGAGGTTTGGAGATTGAAGGCGAGGGGTAGGCGGCTGAGACCGATTGGGTGGGCGCGGTGCTGCGTTACGTGGAGGATCTTCGAGCGTTGCAACGAGACGTAATGGGTTTCCGGCGAGCTACTATGCATAAGGCTGAGGTCACCGAGAGCCGCTTAAATTGGTGTGGAAGCATACTGGGTTTAGAAAACGCAGTCTCTTTGGGCTTGTATGGTAGGCGGAGAAAGTGAGGCAACTTTGCACGACGTGTAGATAGATGGATTCTGCTGAATGCGATGCAATTATCAACATCTTTCTTGTTCAAAAATTGCCCATTCAACGGCTCAGTATAACAAGATGATTTAATAGAGCTGTGACCAAATTTTTCCGCTGTATCACCTGGCCAGATGAGCTGAGCAGATTAGTGGCTTGTTGTGACTTCAAACACAAGAATTCCTCCTTAGACGACGCTCGAGAACCCAAACGATAGCCCTTGAAGACCTTGATTCATCCAGGCTGTAGAATTATCCATAAGAAGCCAGGTGTGTGAATGTCAAAGCATTATGGCCCTAGAACAACTTGCAGTGAAAACATGCCTCGCCGTCGATAGCTACTTGTCAGCATCCACGGATGCAGAAGTTATGTTGGAATTGCTCAACAGTCTTCACAACGCTAGCTAGTTGCCAGTATACAGTATAGTATAGATACCCAAAACTACCCAAGACTACCCACGATTACCCAAGATTACCCATGGCTACCCATGGCTACCCAAGACTACCCAAGACTACCCAAGATTACCCACGACTACCCACGATTACCCATTACCCATTACCCATTACCCATTACCCAGTATGAACGGGTACCCAGAACTACCCAACTACCCAAACTCTGGGTACCCATAGCGAAGTATTCCGAAACCTGTTGATAATAATAATGGCGTATAGAGGGGACTGTCAACTACAGTCTCATCAAAAGCATAGTATGCAGTTAGTGATAGTCAGGGTTATGTGTTAACCATAGGCAATGCTGGTTCAAAGTCATAGTTCAATATGAGCTTATGCTCTCTGTCGTAGTCAAGTTAACCAGTATCGTTTGTCCTTTATCAGATGTTCCTATTACATTAGGCTGCGCTAAATGTGACGTTCACGAACATAGGAAAATTACCTGAACGGCTGGAAGACCTTGAGGTTATGCCCGCGATCTGGGTAGGTCAATAATTTATGAAGACGTCAGCATTTAGCCTGTTGGTCTCGCCGCAAATCTCTCGAATGAAAGGGACCGTGTAAATTGGATTGCTTGTTTTAATGATCAGTTGGATTTGAGCCTAACACCTCTGTCATTGTGGCATGTCGCATGTCCTTCTGACACTGGATACGGTACAGTTTGCCCTTGTTTCGGAAGAACATCGTAAGAAGCCGGCGATATCTTACAGTTCGAGTGCGGTGAAGTCATTCGGTTGTATGTGAATAATGAGCTGCTGAACCTAAGTGGCAGCTCTCATTCGAATGATTATCTGCTCATAATCTACCCTACGTGTATCGCAGGTACGAAGAAACTTATTAATAATGGCTGCAACAGGCTATTCAGTGACATTCCTCACAGTAGCTTCGGATGCGTAAAGGGAACGAGTAATGATCGACTCGCTCACGACTACAAACCTGGCTTTTATCAATCGAATTCAGGATAATCTATACCTTGAAACCTTGCGGAGGAGCAGGAAAGTACACGTCTAGCCTCGATCTATGCGAAAGAATCTGACACGAGCTCACTGGCTCAAAATATACATTACGTAAAAATCAAATTAGTTAACTGGAATCTGTTAAGTTTCGGGCTGGCTGTGATCTCTACATAAAATACAAGCATGATAGATGAATGACCCAAGGAGACCGGAATCAGCAGGCTTGGAGTCACTTACGTGTGAATCATTTTCCCCTGCTTACCAGTTTCATGGAACGCCAAGTTCTGGCCACAATTTGCTGGGTTCGCGACGGGAGTCTCGTCGTGTTGAACCAATGTATCCCAATGGCTTTCGATTCCAGATCATGTTGAGGCAGGTTTGAAAACAATTGGGTAGTGCCCTCCCCTTTCCAATCTTCTCAGTCATTCGTCTTCTATCGGTACATGCCCTCCATCTCCTCGGTGGAAGCCTTATCGCAGCTTCCTTGGCGTAGAAGTCGTTCACTGGACCATATTAGCATTCATACTCGTTTAGGTTTATCAGTCCCTAGATGAAGGTTTTTAGAAGCAAGCCGTCAACAAGTTATTTGATTATGATGGAAGTGCTGGCTGAGACATTCACAGCATAACGCCTCCTAACTTCGAGAATTATCTCCAAACATACGTTCGGTGCAAAATATAAAAACTCGAACCAAAAGCCTGAACTCATGTACTGCAACACCGGAAGGAGCCGCACCAAGAGTTCACAATGTCTCGAAGGCTGTAACTGATATACCAATCGCATCTTCAAGTCGCCTCGATGTTGGAAGCTCCTACAGCAGTCAGGGTCTTTGCCAACGTCAAAGTACGAGGTTCTTTAATTTTGGCGCAAACGGGCCACACATACAGCCATTTGATTTTTTGGTAATTGTACGCCATAAGCTGTGAGGAGAAGCACCAATCATAATATAGCCTGGATGCTATGAGGCAAAAAGCAGGGAGGGCGAGATGTCGGCTCATTCATCGAACGACGATGTACAATCAGGCACTCAAACTTTCGATCGCCAAGTGGCTTGAGGCATACAGTTGATCTCAAAACCCCGAAACAAGTGCTCTTATTTTATTAGCTCTCGGCACCATGTACGTGGCCAAGCCGCTTTGCCGGAGCTGCCTGGCCCTGGAGATGGCTCACGTAGCAGGTGCCAGACTGATCGAGGCAGACATCTATATTCCATGTTTATACAACACCCGAATTACAAAAGCCAACGCGGCATATGATACACAATCCTCCTAACCACCAGCCGTCTTCCGCCTGCTCCGAATTGCTCAGAGATTCTTCTTCGCGCCCTGAGCCTTGAACGCCGCCGAAATCTCGCCATATGCGACGTATATGGCGTACAGGGGGATGAAAACCCAGAGCATGTTGAAGAAGACCAGGTACACCCACAGGTACATGAAGTTGCTGGTGTCGAGGTTGATGTTGCCGGTCAGCCACTCGGGGCAGAAGGTCATGAAACCGCCGTAGAGCTCCGCCGTCGCGATGATGATCATCCAGATGTTGACCTTGGGATCTCGCTTGGCGATGCAGTAGCAGATCCAGACGGCCAGCGGTCCGGCGCCGAAGACGGTGAGCAGCTCGAGGGAGATGACGCCCTGTAGAGAATCCAACGTCAGTACACCTTTATTTTTGCCAGCGAGGTCGTCCGGAGGAAAGGCGGTGAACTTACCAGGTCCGCGCCAGCCCATCTCTTATCAGCACGGGCGTAGACCATCCATAGCTGCGCAAAGGGGTTGCTGCCGCCCGATTGAGCGCCGTAGATGCGGTCCGAGTATCCGAGGAAGTTGGCGGGGGTCGGGTGGTATCCGGAGAGGTCGGCGTCGGGAACGTCGGCGAGGGGGATGTAGGAGAAAAAGCAGTGGTACAGGAAGCTTCCCTCGAGAAAGAAGTGGATGAGGGCGTCGAAGGCGTGCCAGATGAAGAGGACGCGGTAGCTTGTTGAAGTCGTGGGGTGAAGCACGCGACGAGAGACGGCAATGGCGACGGAGAGGAGGACGACAGTCGCAGCGAGGGAGACGAGTGTCGTCTGGTCAAACAGATCGGGAGGCAGGGTGGATGCGTTATTCGACATTATGACCAGCTAACTTCTGAGGCAATTGGCGAAGAATTATATGAGGAAGTGATGTTGAATGAGGCTTGATGGTTGAGACTGATCGCGACGTTGTCGTGTACCATAGTAGCTACCTAACGATGCGACGTCAAATTTAGTGATCCGTGCGCCGGGAATAATGACCCGTTGCCGGGCAAGGTTCGAGAAATCATCCTTGATACCTTTTTCGACGCCCGGCAGGGATCACTGGTGTAAGCCAAATTCTGTGTAAATTCCAATCATCATTTTTCTCCCGCCGGGATGTTGATTGATGTTGCTTGAATAGAGAATTTGTGCCATGTTTGTAAGCAAATATATTCTTGCATAAAAGTCATGTGTAATTTGCAGTCACAGGCGACAGGGACAAGTTGTTTAGCAATGAAGTGGCATTAGGACTAATCTAGGTGTAAGAAAAACCTCCCAGTGTCATTGCCTCATCACAAATTCCTTGATCCATATTCCGTTTCCATGTCCCAAAACGCCTTTCCATTGATATCCTCCCGCAGTATTTAGGGGTATCGTCGTAGGAGGAGCGATTTAGTTCTTGGCCTGCTGCTTGTGGACCTCGGCCTTGGCGTCGTGGGAAGACTCGTCCATCTTGTCGCTGACGGCGTCCTTGGCAGCGGAGGCACTTTGAAGAGTTAGTTTATTGTTTTCAAACGATAGAAGATGAAGCTTACCGGCTGGTGAGGGAAGCGTCGCTGTCCTTGGCGACCTGCTTGTTGGTCTCCTTGGAGGCGGTGGCACCGGCCTGCTGGACAGACTCGGAAACGTAGTTGGCGGCGTTCTTGATGGTCTCCATTGTGATAGTTGGGTGGGTTGGTTGTTTGGTTTGAGTGTTGTTTGTTTGATTGAGTGAAGTTGATTGTTTGTTGTGTGATGAGGAGAAGAAAAGTCGGAAGAGGTGGTGGGAAGAGAAGGTTTATATAATGAACGGAGGGCAGGTTTGATGCCGCGAGGAAGGAGGTAGTCACTGCCTGAGGTGCCTTCCATATCGCGGTTCCTTCCTCCTTCCCGCCGCCTTCAGAGAAAGGCGGAAGGTACTACGTAGGCGCCTGCCCCGCCTAGGTGAGGTGTGAGGCGCTTGCCTTCCTGAGAAAATGTTGGAGTTGAGAAGGGTGGTACTTGGCGTATACCTTGGTTGAGGCGGCAGATCACGGTGATGGAAGGTACCTCACGAGATGCCCATAGCTCCTCTGCCCCTCCCCCTCGTTTGGTCTTTCCAGATGCTCGTGCCAACTCGTGCGTGTCTCTCCCTGCGCGTGTATCGCCTCCCGGGCTTGCCCAAGTGTGGCTTTAGCGCAGTTTCACCCCATCTGGGCAGCAAAGACGCTCAGGGTCTATCATGTGAACTGAAGAAATGGCGTCATAGACTATGTACGAAGATTGCCTGGACTCCAGATTGTCTTTGACGGTTCCTCCAGTTAGAAGCCGCTTGCGTGGGAAATCGCCCCGGGAACCAACGGAGAGGTGTCATGTCAAGAACGACCGAAAATGGCCCCATGCGGGCGTGGACGTGGAGCTTCAGACGGGACGGGACCTGATGGTTTGGGTGCAGTCTCACCAGCCACAGTATGGAGCTCCTGAAGCTAAGCTGCGGGAGCTTAGGAGAGAGCTGGAGCTCTTGACCTTACGGGCGAATGACGTCAGGGGAATTTCTGCAGTCTGGAGCCAAGTGAAGGCGCTAACGTCATAGCAGGTGAGGCTGGGCGGGGTGTTCTTTTCTGCATCTCATTCCAATAATCCACTCAGGATTCGGGTTTGCGGTGGACATGCCACACGCAAAGAATCATGTCGTGCAATTCGCGTAATGCTGGCCGGCAAAATACGTCAGCCTGTCGATTGATGGATGGCCAGCCAACCAGGCGACCCATGAATGACATGGTTCCGTCAGGAGGATGGCATTTTTTCAAATCTCGTTTTTGTCGTTGGTTCCCCACCCTTTCTTTCTGGCGGGGGACACCACTTTCCGTGAATGGAGCACCTCCACATTCTCACGAGAGCCTCTTAGATTTTGGGAAAGGCCTCCAGCCACAGTGGATCTCACTCATGCGCTGAAAGCAACAGCGACCGAGCCAAGCAGGAGCACTGATGATTGGATCATCTCCACTGATGTGCACGGGCCAAGATCCGACTGTGTGGAGTCCTTCGACATTCGCCTCCCCCCATTGGCAACATCGTCTTACACCAGAGCTCCCCTGCATAATGACGTAATGACAGATAGCTTCGCGCTTTGGGAGAAAGAAGGACCGTTCTGGACCGCACCAAAGCGTACAGAGCAAATCAGACCCATCCGACCATCATTTCAGCCTGTTTGCCTCTAACCTCGAATTGCTCTTTCTTGCCTGCTGCTTCTTGCCTGCCCTTGCCCTGCCTGAGCCGCGTCCCCGTCCGCGCTCTGGATACGGCAAGACGCGGGTTTCAATTGTGTAAAGGCGCAGCCCGGCAAATTCCCGCATCGTCAGATGATTGTTACCCGATTCGCCCATCGAACAAACAACACCTGTGTGTCATCGAGATCTACCTTGGCTCACCACGGGGAACACATATCAGCAAAACGCCTCCAACAATCCACCTTCGCCCTCGGACGTTCTGCTCCGGCTTACTGCGGCTGAACCTCCTGGTAATGGAGAGCTCCTCCGTCTGCGTCTCATGTGATGCTCCAGGGGGCCCAACATAACCCTCAGATGGACGAATACGAAGCGAGGAAACGGTCGATGCATTTCCAAACACAGCAAGTGCTATTCTTGTCTGACGGAGCACGGCAAACCGCCTTGGGAGCAGCGTGTTTGACAGAATGCCTTCATCACAGCATGCGGAACTATCGCCGGGTCCCGCATGCCACTGCATCCAGCATTATTGCCGACACAGATGGTCTCGTGCCCTTGACGACGTTTGCCCCCTCCAAGCTTCGCCCGTACCGTACCGTCTTCATTTGTCCGACTCTCCGGCCTGGAAACATCCCGAGCAAATACGTACGTCACCATCACGACACATGAAAGCGCTCATCATGTTCTCTATGGCCAAGCCACTGCGGACCCTGAGAGAAGATCCTGATGCACAATACCCCTCCATTGCCCCTCATTCCGCCCCCTCCTCGGAGAGACATTCTAACACGTCCCGCATTCCACAGATTAAGGTAAGTGTCAATCAGCGGGCCTCGTGTTAGTTCAGTCGCGGGAACGCAGCCTCGGTGTCTCGTCTGACCCCGCCGCTAAAGCTTCGTTGTCGAGCTTTTGTTGAGCTGGCAAGTGCTCGGGCATACGAGCTACCGATTCCGTTGTTGACAATGCCAGTCGTCGTTATCGCTTTCTGCCTTACCGCCGTTCCTCAGCCCATGTCTTCAGTCCGGTCCCGAACATGAGACTACGGCTGCGTTCCGAGGCCTCGAAAAGTCTCTCAAGTACGCCCGCGCCGCGTGTCCTCCGTCAATGCAGGCGTCGGTCGGTGCCTGTGGTGCCTCGCCCTCGCCGGCACGAGAGACGACGTAGCTCCGTCGACTGATCCGTGCAGAGGACGAGAACACGACCAAAAACAATAGCATGAGGGGAAATGCAGAACGAGGCGTCGATCGTGGACGCTAAGGTGCGCCTCGCGTGCCCCGCTGCCAGCTTTCTCCGTGCGGCGACTCCAATGGCCCCTGATGATCGATGCTTCAGTTGGTCATCGACCGTATCGGCGGGTAAGACGTCCAACAGGTCACGACGGCCGACTGGTCAGATTGCCAGATTCCTTGACCGCCTCGGCTGTCTCTGACAACTGAGGGGTAAAGCTGGCTCCGGGCACTTTCCTTGTGTGTTTGTTCGACTTTGCTTTTTCTAGGCAGGTTACACGAGAGCGATTCGAGACAAATCGGCACTAAGAGCTTTGTGAGAGCTTCAGTCGAGGGGTAGAAGAGGGTCCTTGCATGTCCGGTTTCAGGCACGTTGTGCTGTCATTTACTCAACTAGCTTTTAAGCTTGACGGTGACAGAGCTTAGCCGCCTTGGCACGCGGAGCTCGATCTCGACAAATGGCGCGATCTCGTTATCGATATTCCTTCTGACCCAGAAATCGGCCATCTTGTTGGGCTCGTTGGAGCCAGGCAACACATGAGAATGCCAGATCTAAGAAATTGGATCCAGCAACATGCCATTCCTATCACATATCATACAAACGGAGTTTCGTCGCCGGGATCAGGAGACCGATAATCTCCGCGTGCACATCTCTGAAAGCTCGCAGCACATGCAGCTCCTCCGCGTGCATGGTAGCATCTGCCTGGAAAGGTTTCCAGGGCCGCTCATCGCTCTTGCACTTGTCCCAGCCCGATAGGGTGCCGTCGGTGGCTACGGCGGGATGCGGCGGCACGATGCCTTTTTGCAGGTAATCGCGGATCTTGGTCACGGCGCAGACGGAGATCGCGGCCAACGTGCAGTGTCCCTCGGCCTGGAGCTCGAAGACGCCTGCGTTGACGAAGTTCTGGGTCATGTCCAAGGCCGCGCCGAGCGGTGTGACGGGATCGTACGTGTTGCCCGCAAAGAGGATGGGGAAGGACGTGTTGACGGGATCCGGGCTGTTCAAGTCGGCGTCCCAGTCTGGGCTTGGATACTTGGCCTCGAAGCTCCAGCCTTCGCAGGACATCATCAGGGACATGAGCTGACACAGGTGAGTATATCTTCAGTCAGCAGCGCCTTGTTGCACTTACCACGTCAGCAAACGATGTGTAGCTGGAGGTTCTCTTGTACAGCTCATCCAGGGTCTCGTTGCGCTACAGCAAGCAACCTCGTCAGTCCCCAAACTCGATACCGTGATACGGCAGCGTGTCCACCTACCTTGATCTGCTGGTCACTGCAGCTGACCGCCGGCTGGCTCTCGCTCACGTCAAGAATCGCAGGCATTCGGAACTCGGCGCTACACATCGGGGTCAAGTCGGGAGCGCTGACGAAATCGGAGATGTCTGCCCCCGTGTGTAGGATATTGATGAGGGTACCGATAAGGGGGAAGAGCATCACCGGGGCATACAAGGCGGAGAAGACAATCTTTTTGATGTCGGCCTCCATCAAGACCACGGGCATGTTGCTCTTGGAGATGACGATGAGCGGCTCGGCTCGCAACTTGTCCATGACGCCTTCGTATCGTGCTTTGATGTCGTCTGGTTCGTCGCCCTCGCGGAACAGGTCACACTTGCCCCCAGCGAGGTGGCAGTAGTAATAGAACCTGTCCAGGATGGGATTTGCGTCTCTCATTGTTGACACCCACCAAGTCTGTCGCCGACTTTAGCATGCACTCGGAACCAGGTAGATAGAAAATGGGACTCACAGGTCTGTCGTACACGTGAGAATTCACTACGCCATCAAGTACAAGTCGACCGACAGAGTCAGCTGTGATGGGGGTCACGGTCAGTGTTGCACACACAAAACATGTCACAAGCAAGAGGAAGGGAGAGCACGCGTACGGTACATGGCAGCAAAGGTCTGCCCGATCAGTGTGCCGTAGCTGAAGCCCCAGTAGACGAGCTTGCGTTTGGTAGAAGGTGGAGCAGCCTCGCTCGGCGACCGCACCCCCGCGCCGAGGGCCACCGTCTCGAAGCCGTTGTCCTCGAGCCAGTCGTCGTGCGCCTCGACAATGCTCTTGATATCGGCCGCGACGTTGGGTGTGCTCATGTACCTGAAGGCGCTGTCGTCGCCGCCGTGATTTTGCAGGCACAGCTTCGAGACGGCCCTGGCGCGGTTGGCGAGGGCGTCCATGGCCTCGTTGGTGCCGTTGGGCAGGCCGACGTCGTGGGCGGCGGTGATCCAGGTCATCCTGCGCATCAGCGCGAGCCTCTTGGCGTCTGCGGAGGCGTCGGCCCCGCCGCCGAAGCAATCGGCGGACGGCACCGTGGCGCCGATGCCGCGGGGGTCGAAGCCGAGAAGATCCACATCGCCGCCGACGGCGGCTTGAATACTGGGGCCCTTGGGCGGGTACACGAAGGCAGTGCCGACGCCGCCGGGTCCGCCCGGGTTCAGGACCAGCGGGGACTCGGAGAAGCGGCGGGTGTCGAGCCCGTGACCTGGCGCCGGGAGGAGGACCATGGCGACGTGGACCTTTGGGTTGTCCGAGGACTGATTCAGGGGCCGCTGATAGTCCATCGGCACAGTCAGGCGGGCGCAGAGATAGGTCTCGGGCGGCATGTCCGGAAGGGCGCAGCGCACCCAGTGAAGCTTCTCGCTGGTGGGGACGTCATGCCAGTCGGTGTACACGGGGAAGGGATGCGACGTTGGGTGGAGGACGGCATTGCGGTCGTAGAAGCACTCGTGAAGTTTCCATGACCAGATGCAGAAGAGGAGGACGCCAAGGACGAGAGGCCTCCTCCATTCTCGCCGTTGCGGCGGCGGTTGGATCGGGACGATTGAGTCAGCGAAGCTTTTCGCCGACATGATGATCAACTGTGATGGTGGCGACGAAGAGTCAGAAGCGACGGCTCCTGAAGTTGATGAGGGCGGAAGAGATTGCCGGCGGCGACGATTTGTGTCGATGGCGGGCGATGGGTGTAAGCAGGAAACACGAAACTTGATGCCTGTGGCACCGTCCAGACTTCTGGAGGTGGCCAAGACCGCGGCTCTTGCTGCACCAGCGCGGCACAATGATTTGGCGCTGGCCAGTCAGATTGTCGGATTGACATATTATCCTTTTTTGAATCAGGTCTCTTGGCGGCTGGTGTGACCCATCTGGTATGCGTTGACGAGTAATTGAGACAGACGCCTTAGTTCTGATGTCTGGTTCGTATACCACGCGGCAGTTCTCGGTGTGCATTGGTGATGTGATGGATGAGTTTGAGTTGAGGGTGCGCTGCGCTGTGCGTGCAGCAAAAGACGGGCTGAAGTCCGGACGTCAGGGGGCGTTTTGGGGGCGAATGTCGCGGTGCCAAGACGCTGTAGTGCCAGAGTTCTAGGCCGCTTGTTGGAATATTCCGTCTGCGATATTGAAATTGGGGTCCGTTATTGCAGCACTAGCGGTTGCAGAACTGCAGTGACTGACTGACAGCTTTTACAGAGTAAAGGTACTTGCCGCTGGTTTGGAAACACGGAGCCAGCGAGTCAGCTGCATCTTCATTTTGGAGGGGCGGCAAACATGTCCAGGACTCCCAAGGCTCCGAGGAAGTTCACGATGCCTTCGCGAGTACCAATGTGTAGGTATGGAGGTATGTCAGGTACTGAAGTACTCGTCGTCGGTACTGTACCGTACCTCGGGCACCGGCTAGATCGCAAAGCGCGTCTGAGGAGCGGCCTTGGCGTGTGCGATTAGCGACGAGCAAGTGGCAGGGAGGAATCCCGCGATGTTTCCTTGTTTTGGGTGCGTTTGGGGCCGGAGCCCACAGCACGCCAGCCTTGATCTCCTTTTCACCACCTCTTCAGCCCAGCCCGACAGGCCCAGTCCAGGCCCAGAGACGAGAAACAAAAAGGAAAGTAGGGCGGTCGTGGCCGTTGGTTGCTCGACAGACGACGGATGTATCCATCGTGGTCCAAACTCTGCCATGACAGGTCAGTCCCTGGGACGATGGCGCCTGGTGACCCTTAGCAAATCGGCAGGCGAGACTCCTTTTTTTAGAAGTCGCCCACAGAATTTTATTCCGCAACAGCTTCCGAAGAGCTGGACTCCCGAGACACGAAGCAGGCCAAGGCGGATGCTCGTGGAAAGAAAGAGAGAACGCATGAATGGAAAACACCGACAGAGAGAGACCCGTTCGTCTAAGAGTTCAATCGACTAGCGCTCGAGGTTCGTGAACGTCTCAGATCACCCGCGTCAAGAGCTATTTTCGGAATTGAGCGAGAGATATGCGACGAAAAGGGGATGCGTGATGCGCGGCCTCGTGTGGTTGCTGCCAGCGTCAAGTGCTGTTGCTGTGACTGACAACGGCTTCCTTCGACGTTTCTGGTGTAGTTGCATTCGACTTCCGCCGTGCCGGCTTGGCTGGTCTGAATAACACCCAAAGATTGCGTTGCCTTGGACGGGGCGGCCGAGCGGGCTTGGATGGCAGAAGCTTGAGGGCAATGATTGTGCGTGTCCGTCTGAAGAGGGTTGCAGAGGCCTTGCGCAATGGAACGGAGGCGAACGATATCGGCCAAACAAGCAGAATCAAGCAAATGCAACGCCCGCCGTTCTGGTTCCCCAGTCTGCCAGACCAACGTGCCTGGGGTCCAAGACAAAAACGAGGAGTTCGTTCTCGCCCTTGGTGGTTGTTGGTAGCATTGGCACAGACACACAGGCAATGGCAGCCCCCGTCTGCGATCCTTCTCTTGACCCATTTCCTCTTAGGATCCCCGGCCGGCAGTTCTAAACGGCAACAATTGTCGACGGCGGCTGTTGCAGGTGAGGTTGTGCGTGCAGGGGGTGCTTTTTCCTTTCCAGGGGTCTAAGTGTGACTGCGACTCTGATCCAGGCGTGGCCAAGCCAAGATGTGAAAAGACAAGGTCGCCAAGTAAGCTTGTGGTTGATTAGGTGTTGGAAACAAAAAAAAAAATGCGATGAAGTTTTGGAGGTTGTTATTTTGGCCCCCAGCGTTGAGTCGCTGAATGACAACACTTTAACGCAGCCAAGAGCGACGATGGACGGTCTTGGTAAAATCTTGTTATGGACGTCAAAGTGACCGGACCCAATGACAGAAGGAAACAGCTTCCCCGGACGGAGGAATTGCAACGCAGGAGAATGGGGCCGCAGTGGACTGCAGGAATTAACAGAAGGCCGGTATTCGATCTGTAAAAAGTCTTGGGTTCGATTAGATGACACCAACTTCCAAGACTCCAAGACCTACCATTCCGCCGTCCGTTCCGTACGAAGCTTTTCTCCTTGCACCACCCACTACTGAAGTACACCACACCGGACCGTTGAACGTTGGGCCACATGGCATGGCGCTTCAATGACAGATGACCACAGACACTGCACTAGACATGTCGTCAACAGCTTTGCCTTTCGGTCTGTTAACCTAATACCAATGCCAAGATAAGCCGCATCGCACTACCTTACAAGATAAGGTAGGTAAGGCGTGCACGAATTGACGGGAAAGGTTGATAGCCGTCATCGAGATGGTGCCGCGGAAAGTACGTGATTGCCATCGCCTAACCCGTCTTGGTGGACATCTCGCAAGTCAGTAGCAGTGGATGTACACGACGGTAAAGTCTGTTGACTGTTCCTGTCCAATGCCAAGAAAAACCGAGAGTGCATTGAATAGCTAAACTGGTTTAGAGCCTTTGGATGCAGCCCTGGCACGATGCTCCCTTGACGGAACGCAACTCTTGCCCCTGGATGCGAACTCTTTTCCTCTGCAAAATTTTCATCTTGATCAATGCATCAGAGGCCACTCCTGGCCCCGGCATCTGGAAGCGACACACCCCGATTTGATCTTCGACCATTGAGTTCGACCAACTTCAGGCTCGTCCCTGGCTCACCGAGAGGTCATGACTGGAAAAGCAAACCAGACGTGTCAGGCACGTGCATCGTGCAGTTCGCCTCGCCTCGAGCAGATCATCATGTTCTGCAGCTGCAGCATCAGCATCGGAATCTAATGCATTGAGGGACTCAACAACGACGTCGTATCACGGGAGACGACGCCTATTCAGGCCTTCAAGACCGCAGGACCGCAAAACAGACTTACTGCGGTTTACCTTAGCACCACCCGCGGAGACGGGGTCGGTCTGATGTCCACGGCACGCGATGCTATTATTGGCACCAGACAAGGCACCCAGCTGGCAGCGGCAGCTCTACAACGGCGACTATCACGCAGCTCCGAGGTCTCAGACACCCGCGGGAGTGTGGGAGTCGTGTCGCACCAAAAGAATCTCACTGTACCGCTGAGGATTTCTCCCACAGTCCACTCACCAACGAGGAACTCCATTCGAAAAGCACCTCGACCTCACACACCCTGCTCCTACTCGGTCGAACTCGTCCGGCCTCTCTGCATTGCATCCCAGCCTTTTCGCCTTCGGCCCAAGGCAGTGTTACACGATTGGACTGGACCCTGAGCTTTCCGCCGTCCCACGGGGTTCTCGAGTCTCCTCCTGACACTTGACAATTGGCAAACCATCGGGGCACGGTTTTCATGCGTTTGCCCAGCCGCCGTCCAGTAACCGCCTTTCCATCTACCGCGACCCAGTATTGGGGAAACATTCGAGAGGAACGACATCCTGGCCTGGCTGGTTGAGTGTGTAAGCCACGACTCGGCGACGCCTAGAGAAACGATTCATTCGGTTTAACCCGTTGTTTGCTCGTCGGCCCTTTCAGCCGCCTCATCTTGCTTCTTTCAGTTGCCGCGGACCAACGTATCGCACGCCCGGAGAATAGGTGATTGCCCTTGGCGGCCTTGGTGGTCCAGTCGCCGCAGCATCCGACAATGCCAATACGGGGCAAGATCTCTTGTGCTTCTTGGCTGAATGGCATCGTTGCACCCCTAGCCAGACAGAAGACGACACCGGCCGCACGACGTCCCGCCAAGTGCCAAGAGGCAAATCCGCCCCCTTGGCACGCGGTATATGCAAGTCCACGACGACTTCTGAGCCTCTTTTTCTTCCTACTTCCAAATCCTCCACCTGCCCGCCACTTCGTCCCATCACAACAAGCAGGACAGGGGACGAGGGAATTAAGAGAAGATGGGCAATATCGACGCCGTGCACGTCCCAGATTCCATCGAAGAAGTTCTTGGCATGGTCTCAAGAGCGACTGACCCACACAGGAAGTACCGCATCCCTTGACCGACGAATCCACCTCCAGAGTGTCGAGTCGGATCTTCACTGCGCGTCCTACGAGGGGGTCCCCCTGGTCCCTGGTCTTGACCAACATCAGAGCGTGGATCTCTGGGCCAAAATTGGCATCCTACCTAACATCTCTCGGCCATCGCATAGAGCCACGGCGACGATGCCAAGACCCTCTAGTCAGGTCTCTCCCTCAAGCATGGTCTCGAATCGCTCTCACATCTTTCCCTCTCCTACGGGCACAGTCCAGATGGATATCCCAACCTGAGATGTCCAATTGGACTGTCGCCTGCCTCTGGTGTCACCTGCGTTTCATGCCTCGACTGCTTCGGTTGCTGCTTGGGCCTCACAACGAGCACTCGAGAGTCCCGCCGACTCCAATGAAGCCGTCAACAAGTCCTCCATCCCTTGGCACAACTCGGAGCTTTCCAGCTGGGCAATCCCACCAACCCGACGACACGCCAACCCCTGTGCCTACTCCGTACCGACGACTCGATCATCAAGAGCCATACCCCGGACAGTAACCCTCTCTGCTAATGTCTGAGGGCCCACGACCGGCTTGAGGCTTTCGACGGGACTCTATCTCTTGGCATCTTGGCAGCGGTGTCTCAAGCATGTGGCCGGCCCAAGGTCTCAACCCGTCAAGCTTGGCTCGTGGGGAAATATATGAAGTCTAAATTCTCGTGTTCTTCTGACACGATTTCCTTTGCTTCTTCTTCAGCTGTGCTCGACTGGTATCCTGTCTCTTCTCGGTTCTCTTCTTTCCTTTCAAAAGGTTCAAAGCTTTCTTCTCTTCTTCCGCTGGTCGTGTCCATTTATATCAACTACGCCTATTACTTAGTTTCAACAATTCCCCTTCCCGTGGACGATCATCATCCTCCCCCCAGAGCCGCTCATCCGAATCACACCCTCAAAGAACCGACTACCCGAACAACTTCGACAAGATGGTTAACCGTTACGTCTTCGCCGTTGCCGGCCTCGCCGCTCAGCTCAACGCCCTGCCGTTGAACATCAACCTTGGTGCCTACTCTCCTGCCTTGGTGGTGGGTGATGGTGAAATTTCATTCGGTGGTAGAAACGATGTCTCCCAGTTGATGAACGTGCTGGAAGGCGCGGCAGTTAATGCTGCTCAAGGTGTTGCGAACGCTCCGGCCGCCGCTCCCGCCAACCCGCAACCGCAGCAGCCGGCGCAGCCCGCAACTCCCGCTGCTCCTGCTGCTGCCTCCGTGGGCGGCGCTACTCCCGTCACTGCGACCTCCGAGAACGGACGAGTCGACGAGGTTAGTACTATCCTCTAGAGTTTTGGCTGTGTTGATGTCTGTGTGGCCGGGATGCTCACGGACATCTGTACTTGATCGGACCAATATCAGCTAACGCATGCTACCAAATAGGCCCAGGCCATCGCCGCCCTTCAAGGCATGGGCAAGGAGATCGCTCCTCGAGTCTCGCTCACCAAGGCCCGCGCCCCGCCCCCGCAGAAGCGAGACCTCGCCGGCTTCGACCGCGCCCTGAAGTTCGCCGAAGCGGCTCTCACGAAGGGACCCAAGGTTCAGCTGGGCACCGGCGAGGGTGGGTCTGGTGTTGGTATGATCGTCGACAACAACCAGCAGGCCGCCGCTCGCCCTGGTAAGGGTGGTGCTGAGGGAGGTGCCGCTGGTGGCGGTGCTGCCGGTGGTGGTGCCGGTGAGGCTGCTGCTCCTGCCGCTGCTCCTCCCGCTGCCGCCGCCCCCGTCATCGTTGCCCAGCAGAAGGTGAAGGCTCGCGCCGAGGAGCCCCAGCAAGCTCCCCGCCGCCGCAAGGTCACCACCATGTACGTCCGCTCTGGTGTTCCTGCTGGTAAGTTCAAGTTATCCGTACGACCACCGTTCCCGCATCATGCTAACACCGTGTGATAGGCGTTGAGATGACCCCCGAGAAGCTCGTCGCCCGTGACCCCATGCCCGCTGGTACTCCCGTCGCCCGCCAGGTCATCCCTGCCACCAACGAGATCGTTAAGCGTGCCGAGGAAGAGCTGGCCAAGCGCGGTGCCGGTGGCGCCATTGACACCGTCAACCTCAACGTCAGCGGTGAGGGCGTCACCATGACCTTCGTCGAGAGCGAAGCCCCCGAGGATGAGCAGTAAATGTTTCGACGCTTGGAATCATACAACCTCAAAAAACCGTCCACACGAAAACCAATTTGAAAAGAAAGTACTTCTGTTACGATGACTTCTTCTTTCGTCTACGATTCCCCCCGGCCTCAGCCCTAATCAACTCATGTCGAGATCCCCATCGCTGAGTGACGGGTCAAACATACTCTCATCTTCCTACCATACTCGGCTTCGTTTCTTCCTGGTTGTCTTTTCTACTGTTATGATATCAAATGTCCTTTGGGAAAAGGGTGGTGGGTTGCGTTTGGTCTGTAGGTGTTACATGTTCTAGACAAATCCCCTCAAAGCATGCGGCGTAGTATATCAACATATTTTATCGAAAGTTGGACCGATCTTTTTCACCTCTCACTCATTTGATGGGCTTGTCTCCAGAGTCAAGCAAGTGCTGATTCAGGACAACTCTTGCTTGCACTCTCAAAGCCAAAGCAAGCCAGTGATCTAACAGCGGACCATCTTGTCCTTCGACATGCCAGAATCTGGCCATTCACGCTGAGAAACTCCATAATCGCAAACGCGGGTCATGACTAGCCGATTTCGTCCAAAGTAAGAATTCGAGCAGTTCCTCCATCCGCGTGGTCTTGCCCGCATGAAAAAGGGGGCAGTCTAACTGGAAGCAAAACCGAGAAAAACGAGGAAAAGAGAAAAAAAAAGTCAGTAGTCCACGTTACAACGTTCCATCCCGAGTCGTCGTCGTCGGTGAGAGATGAGACAGGGCACCCGCCACCCGAGTTGGCCGCCCTGGCCTTACAAAACATCGGACCGCTCCCTCCCTCTCGGACGTCGCAGCATCGTCACAAAGTGCCCTAGAGCCTCAACCCTGTTTGGGTACCACCGAAGGAACCCCCGCAACGAAGGCTGGGCCAATGGGAGAATTGCTGCGTTTATGTCGTAGGCGGAGCTGGGGATATCCTGGTTCTGCGGGAGGTGGGAGGATGAGGGGATGTCGTATGGAAGCGGGAAATGGATGCGTCGAGGCGGCGGGTTCCATGTCACACTCCCCTTGGTGCATACAACATATCCACGGTATCCGCGGCAGGGAATCGGGGAAGTGTCGTGTGTTTTAGCCTGCCAGATCGTAGTTCGGTTTTCTCTCTCTTCGTTTGCGTGACTGCTGTACGCTGGCTGTGAATCAGTGTCAGCCCTGCCTTTTGACAGGAGGATCCCGGGTTCGGAGGAGAGCAAGGTCGAGCCTCGTTTCGAACTCTCGGGTTGGCGCTTAAGGCACTTGAGTTGGCTTGGCAGTTGTTCTGTGTGCCCTTCATGTTCTCTAGGAAATACAGCGAGTAGACCTGCGTGGTGACTGAGGAGGGCCGAATTCCAATGTACACAGTGACCGAACACTTTCCTTGCGAGGTCTTTCGATATCGCGAGTTCGTTTCTGGTTTCCTTTTTCGGGTGTCTTGCTTGGGAAGTACACGACGAGCATTTCGAAAGGTCGTAATCGAGTTGGTGTGTCCGGATACGACTCGAGAATCGGTGATGAGCATGCTTATTGTTCAGACCAGACGGTGGAAGTCCGGGATAGCGCCAAGACATTCCATTCCCTTTATTCTAGGTACTCTCGCCCGCGGTCTCTGGGTTTTATGTTTCTTGGGGGTTTTCTAGATGTGCTCTTCCTCGCGAGATAAGCCTTTTCCAACCTGGGGGTTTCTCTCTCGGCGCCAAGTGAAAAGAAGTATTTTTTTTTTCAAGATTCGATGGATGCAGCAGCAAGGCAAGGGTTTGTCGGGAAAAGGGTTCCTAGAAAGGGTAGAAGACGAAGAAGGGAAGGCAAGCTTTTCTTTTTGAGGACTTGGCGTTTGGAGACCACGCGGGAGTGCACCTCACCTTCAGCCTTGGGGGGAAAGGAGGAGGAGGGTGGTGTGTGTCTGTGTGCGTGGGAGGGCTGCCTGCCACGCGGCATTGGAATGATTTGGAAAATGTGTCAGGCGTCTAAGGAAAGGGTAGACGCGTGACCACATGGGAAGATTCTGGATCTACCTTTTTTTTTTGGTTCTTGTTGGTGTTTTGACAGGAGCGATGACACACGGACAAGCGTTCGGGAGGGTTGGGAACCGGGACCACTTGCTCACGATGCGGTTTTTGGCAACTTTGTTTCTTCATCTCTTTTCTTATCATTGATGATGGTTGATGATTGATGGTGTATTCCGGGGGGGGAGAGAAAAGCTATTTATCCCATTCCTTGTACGCCTTTTGCTTCTGCCGCGTGTTCCATCCCAGCTTGCCGCTGATGCTGTTGACCCAGTCCTCGCTGCGGCGGCCCTGGGCCTGGACGCTGGCGAAGGGGTAGCGGCTGGCGCTGATGGTGACGTAGTCGCCGGGGTAGAGCTCGACGCGCTCGCGGCCGTCGAAGCTGGCCCACGAGTTTGTCCTGGCGTCGTAGGGGACGCCGACGCGGAGGACGATGGTGTCCGGGAGGATGATGGGGCGGAAGGAGAGGGTATGCGGGCAGATGGAGGTGACGAGCATGACGGGGTTCTCCGGGTGGCAGAGGGAGCCGCCGGCCGCCAGGTTGTAGGCTGTGGAGCCCGTCGGGGTCGAAACGCATATGCCATCCGCCAAGACGGAAGTGAAGTGTTCGTCGTCACCGAAGATCTCGGTGTATGACATTGCTGATTGGGGTACCGATGTCAGCCGGGCTGGCAGGGACGAGGGGTCGGCGGGGGGAAAGACTTACTTGGATTTGGGCCGCGGTCTACCACGATCTCATTCAATATCTCGAAGGTCCCGTCTGGGATGTGAGTATGCGCGTCTTCCCTCTCCTCACCGATGAGCTCCTCGACAAGATCTGGCCTTCGCCCATCGTCTTCCTGGCTGGAAGTGCTCTCGTCGCCGTCGACCAGTTGTTTCCTCCGCTGGCTTCTCATGATTGTTCCTTCGAAGCGCAGGCGGAGGCTCACTGTGACGCCCTTGTTGAAGGCATTCGTGAGAATGGACCTGTGCTCTTCGAAGTCGAACTTGGTGAGGAACCCGAGGCTGCCGAGCGAGAAACTGAGCACCGGAGGCACGATGCGTTGGAAAAGCCAGCTGATGTAGAGAACAGTGCCGTCACCTCCCAAAGTGATGACAAAGTCAAACATATGCGGCCTGTTTCTACACATGTCCTCGTCCCAGTATCTCAACCGCTTGGCCAGAAGATCATTTTTGTCATCAGGTTTCATCCTGCCCGCCTCAACATGCTCTTTCTTGAGTTCCTCGATGAGACCCGAGGCATTGAACTTCTTGCTGTCCTTGAAGTTCTCCCCCACGTATACCGTGTAGTCGACGTCTCTCTCATGAGACAGAAGCCACTTTACCAACTCCCTGGTGCGGATGATCAAATCCGGGTCGTGGATTTTCGTCAGCACGAAGATAGTCTTGACGCGGAACCTGATGCGCATGCTGCTCAACCGCCTGCTTAGCTCGCGCACTCCCCAGGCCATTTCGCTCAGTTGCTTTTTCGTCAACAGCCGGCTGTGAAGCTCGTCGTCGTTGTCGGCATTCATCAAATCGATTTGCGATGGCGACTTGATGATTTCGCTCCGCCAGGACTTTTCGTCGACTTGGCCCACGTCACTGCCCTCCGGACTGTCGGAAGCCAGTATCGCAGCTCTATGCTTGGCGATGCGGCCCTTCGGCTCGACCGTCTTTGACATGCCCGTTTCGGCAGATACGTCTTTAACGGCTGCTTGCCGATGAGGGCTCTCGTAGGTTGGATGGCCGTGATGATAGTTGTCTGATGAAGACTTGGTGGTGCTTGATACTGAGTTGGACCTTGAGCCGTGGTTGCTGGCTGAGGCGACGGCATCGCGGGCTTTCCTCTGGCTCTCGAGGAATTGATGCACAATGCACTCGGTTCTTTTACTTGGATGACGTGGTAGCGGCCGCGAAGCCTCAGAAGTTACCAAAGAGCTCTTGCGACGATACGGGTTCCCCGGATCAAAGGTGACCTAATGATTCATACCGCGTTAGCACCCCTCTTAGACGGTGTTTCACATCTACGTACCTCTACCGCTCTCTGATAGTCGTCGTCGCTTCCGCTCGAATGGGCGTCGTCTTCATTCTCAAAGCCAACACGCTTCTCAGCCTTCTCTTCAGCAACGTTACCGGCTCCCATTTTGAGTGACGGGGACGTCGCGAGGACAAAAGAATCTGGCTTTTTGAAAGTCGGAAGAGCCGCGACGGGGAGGCGCGGGGTAGGTCAAAGGCGTTTAGGGGTCCGCGAACGTCGACTCAGGAAATGACGGTGTTCGGAGAGGTTCTGATTAAAAATCTTTGCATGCCAGATCGAAGTAACGGCAGGTCGGAAGTTTAAGTGAGTGCGCTATATGCTGAGTGAGGTCTCTGTCAGGAAGTTATCGTCGTGGGGCTGATTCTTCAGCTTCCGTAATCAAAGTCTCCAAGAGAATTGGGTTTGTATGTAGAGAGATGTCTTCGGGCCTTCTGGCGTTTCTGGGGGTTGGAGAAGGCGGCCAGGCTGGGATGTCCAGGTGATGGAAATGCCGCGGACCGGATTTCGTGGTAGAGTTTGAAGCAACGCGAGCTGGATGACGACGGGAGTTTGCCAAACGCAAAAGACCCAGTGGTTTGGCGGGGCCTTGGACTTTGACTTATCGCCCAAATGTGCAAAGTTGGTTCTACTTGTACGAATCCAAATACCTTAGTGAGGATTGATTGCGGCATCTGGGCCGGGGTGTCCGCGGGCTTATTCAATGGGGTGGACCGGGCTTGCTCACTTGGCACCGAACGCCGAAGGATTAGTGGTTCACCCGCCGTGGCGCACACTGTCGCTTCCGCAGAACCGTCAGTGGTCGCTGACGTCGTGCGCGCACTCAATTTGCGCTGCAGGTGCATGTGGAGCTTCTGAGGACGGGACATGACAGGGCAATTGCGCACTTGTTCACGGCCTCCAGGTATGGGGTTTGCTTGGTAAAAGTTGGCGAAACGGGTCATGGAAGGCAATCGTATCTTCGCGCTGCTCCGTCTCTTTAGGAAATACGCAGTAGAATCCGAACTTACGCAGTAAGGCACGGAACTGCATGGGAGTAGAGGTATCTCACCGAAAGTAAATCCATCTAATTGCCCAGCACCGGCACGCCTTTGCATTGCGCTGGCTTCGCGAATGTGGTCCGCATGACGCAAAAAACTCTCCTCTAAAACTTGACGATCCAGTCTTGAACACAGCCTAATCATTGGGCCGGCGCAGACAAACATCGGGTGATGCCCTTGCGCAGTTCCAAACATGAGATGATCACTCCACGGCCTCGTACCTAGCGACGCTACACACGTCTCTTTTGGCTATGTAAGGTAGCCGAACCGCAGATAAAGGCTATCGCTTGTGAGACCTGGCGGAGATCGTGACGGGAGGCACAGGCCAGATGGTCCTACCCGTGGGGAGTCGGCTTGTGTTTGCCATTTTCAGCTCAGATGGATGGATCGGAGCAACACTGAACCAACTGAGAATCCACTTTCAAAGACTGCAGGGCTTCCAGCCACACCGGTGCCGTGACCTGTGACACCCCGCCAAATCACCCCAAGGAAGTTGCGCCACAGCCAATCACAGCTTGCAGCGCAAACCGCATCCCACTCGAGTGCATCTCTCCTGCGTTGATGTTGACCTCCTTTCCAAGCTCAACAATGAGCTCGTCCCACGACACGCGATCAAAAAGCTTCTCGACGCGTCGTAGCCCAATGTTGCTATCTTGATCAGCACCAACGAACTCCGAGGAAGCCATACCATCTCATCTTCAGTGAACCAGCTGGAGCATGACACGCCTCTCGACATAGCTTCCTTCCAGGATGAACTCTCTCTGGCCCTCGCGGGCCGCCAACGATGGCGCTGCTGCTGCAAAACAACCACCTCCACCCCCGACCGGTGATGTTGCAGATGCCGTCGTTGCTGATGTCGGCCCGCCCCCGGCCACCGATGCCGCAAATCCACCTCCACCTCCTCCATCTCGACCGCCTCTAGCAAGAAACTCGTCTGCTCCGTTGCCCGGCCCGGCACCCGCGCCCGTCCCTCCGGCCCCGATGCCCCCTGCGTCCTCCGATCAGCCGCAACCGACGGATTCGCTCTCTCTGCTGCAGCTTAGGCGTATTGTTGCCGAGTTCAGCAGGGGCGAGCCCGTTGCCTACGACTTCGTCTACAATGACATGGGATCTCACGATGAGGAAATTGACGAGTGGTTCGTCTACCAATTCTGGCAATGGGTACGCCTCAATGCTGCCCAGAGGGCATTCGAATGGCAGTGGCAACACGAGTACAACATCCAGTCGAGCTGGGAGGAGACGGAATTCGAGGCAAGGGCAAAGTTCACCCGGGACGCCTTGGAAGGCCTACGAGTCAAAGAGCCAGCTCAGCGGTCAGCCTCTATCGGGAAACTTCTATACTTGATCCTAGGACGGTGGGGCGATACTTCAACTCCTGCCACTGTTGGAGACCGGAGGTCTGCCGCGAGTGCGACGCAGCTCGAGGCCATTAGATCAAGTATCACGTTCCTTACAGAGTTAGACGGTGTCGCTGCTGTTTGGGTTGCTGTCCAAGACTGTTTCGACGTTTTCTGGTGTGTACAAGCCACGCTTTCATTCACGTTCTCAGCTAACCATCCTAGGTCCGATGATCCCCGACTTGTGCAGCCAGGCGGCGCTCAGGAGGCCCAGGACGAGCTCATCAACTTGATGACCATCATGTATGTCGTTATACAAGAAGTACTGAGCTTTCCCAAGGAGCTTGAAACTACAAGAAACAACCTTCGTGAGCATCAATCGCACTGTCTTAACAAGTGACCGAGCTAACAGCCCCAGTTTCCTTGAAGCCTGGTCTGGTTGATTTCATGTCCATGGCGACTGCCAAACTGCGCTGGGACGACCAAAACTTGATGCCTTCGAGTCAGGTAAGAGTTACAGATGATACTCATGGTCAAATCTGACAGTTGTAGATTTTCCTGCTGTATTGGAAATCCATCCTCCTGGTCTTAGGTGGGACGCAAGAGATCGACGAAGCCAAAAAGGCCACAGCGGAATCGCCCAACGCCAAGTCGAAGGATATAATCACAGCATCACCACTAGACTACCATGTCTTTCGACAGGAGCTTACTTCCAAGTATCCCGCATATGTTCCACCCCGCACACTTATTCCCCTCGAGCCAGAGAACACAACATTACTTCCCCCTCTACCGAATCAACCTACCAGGAATAGCGCTACTACTGGAATTCTGCCTGGCCCTTCAAACACCCAGAGCGGTGGAGCTTCCATTCTACACCAACCCGTGCACATTGCAACGCCAGCACCGTCACCGCCGCCGTCTCCTGGAGTCGGGGGCAAAGGCGGCAAGAAGCAAAATTACCAGACAAATCAGAATTTTCCGTTCATGTATCCACCTCTGGATGCTACCAGCAATAGTGCTGGTGGTAAGGGTGGTGCTGGTCTACAAGAACAGCTTGTAGGACGCAAATGGGAAGGCAGTGACATCCCCGCGTCCATCCTTGAGGCAGGAGAGCTATTCTCCAAGCGAGTCCGAATGACGCGTGCTACGCGACAGCTCTGGGAAGAGCGCGAGAGCTTCTTGAAGTTTGAGAGAGGTTGGGAGACGGATAACAGCGACAGCGATGTCGATGAGCTCGATCTCGACGGGCTCACCCTCGAAGAGAAGCAAGAAATCGCTGCACTGAAAGCGGAGACGAAAGCAGAGGAGCGTAGAGAGGCAGGCTTCACGATAAAGGAGCCGGAAATTGACTGTGGTCCAACTGGCCACGTCAGCGATGAGGTCAAGCGACGTCTGCTCGCCGTTGAGAGCTTTTACGTAAGCATGGCAAATCCCATACGCTTTCACTGTCACTGACATCACCGCAGAAAGAGTCGCTGCCTCATCTGCAATCTCTCGTGATTGTGCTTTTGAGGCCAATCCTTATGAACGTCACAGCCGTTCTGGCGCAGCCTGCCCCTCCTCAACAACATCCGGGCATGGCTGGCAGAGGCGCCAATGGCATGGTTAACGGCGGTCCCGGGCCCAACAGACAACAGCCTCAAGATCCGTCATCGGCAACTTCAGGTGGCCCTCCTGAACTTCCAGAGATGTCTCCCGAGGAAGTGGATGCTGCTAGATCCAGAGAAATCACAACAAAGGCCATCACAGGAATTCTCCTCCTCTTACTGAAATGGCTCAGGGTTTCCCGTAAGTGTATTTTCCCCGTGTTCGAGGATAAAAGCTAAGAAAAGATTGCCAGACATTCTCAAGTTCGAGTACATGACACAGCTTCTGCTTGACTCAAACTATCTGCCGCTGGTCCTTAAGCTGTTTGCCCACCAAGACGTTCAGCAGGTGGTAGATAGCAAGACCGATCGGCTAGAGAACAGGTGGAGTGCCCCCATTGTCAGGATTGTCAAGCAAGCTAACCCTGCATTTAGTTTCTTCCATTTCTGCAACCTGCGCTCGAAGCATAAGGATAAGCCGCCTGCTCAACCAGAGGCAGAGGAAGAAAGCGAAGACGAAGCAGCGCCGCCGCCCATTAAGAGAAGACGGTCGCCGCCCCGGCCAGCCGTGGCCGTACCTCATCAAGGGGATGAGAACTCCCAGCTCGAGGGCCACGCCGCGGCCCGACCCGAGGTCGACGAGCTCGGATATCCCATCAACGATCTCCCAGCTGAACCCATCACCGACTTCTCGAGAAGGAATTTCTTCTCCCTCATCAACTACCTCCGCATCATGCAAAAGATCTGCAAGCACAAGGCACACAGGAACCTGCTCCTGGTGCAATATAAGTCAGCCAACATCCTCCGCAAGTCCCTGAAGGTCCCTCAACCCGAACTCCGGCTTTACACCCTGAAGCTGTTCAAGAACCAAGTACCCTACTGCGGCCGTAAGTGGCGGCAGAGCAACATGCGAGTCATCACGGCGGTATACCTTCATTGCCGGCCCGAGCTGCGCGACGAGTGGCTCGCCGGCAGCGACGTCGATGCCGAGGTCGATTCGGCGCTTCCGCTGGAGCAAGCCCTGCGCAGCTTGACGCACTGGTTCAATGTGCGCAGATACCCGGACAAGATTGCGGTCGAGCTGCGGGCCGCGCTCCGCGAGGAGCAGGATTTCTTTACGAGGGAGCTGGAGAAGCTTGACATGAACTGGGCGGACGTCGGGAGCGATGAGGGCGTAAACAGTGAGTGGGAGCACGAGGCGGCCGGGTGGCCATGAAAGACCCGAGTTTGTTCGCAGTGTTTTGCTAACGCCTGATCAAGTGTCGGGTCTAGGTTACTGACGACGGAGTCGCACGCGAAAATACGGATTACAGCAGCAGCTCGGGGCACGCTGGGCCTCAACTAGTTAGCTCACGATATCCTAAACACATCCATCAACCATGATTGAATGCTGAACGCAGACAACATGACGTTAACGCCAATACAAGTAAAACTCTACGCAAGCCTTCCCAGCTGATATCATGCATTCCATGGCTCAATAGCTCGTGAGTATTGATGTAATGGATCAATCGATTCGTAACTACAAATCTATCAAATGGGCTATCGTCTAGTTCTTTGAGACGACCTGCCAGACTCCGCAATCCCAGGGTATATATCATTCCTTGTCCAGTTTCATTCCGTTGCTTTACAGCTCATTAAGTTCCTGTAGTTTCTCGGTTTTCTCTCATTCCAGATGATGAAGAATCTTACACCAATGGGCCCTCTAGACTCTGTCGTAGGTACCGTCGTTGTAGCGATATCCCGCAGGAGGCGCCGTGGTGCCATTCTCGTGGCCGTAACCGTAGCCGCCGCCAGAAGCGGTGGTGGTGTTGCCGTAGGCGCCCTCGTACTTGGGGTAGCCGCTCTCGTGAGCCACGGCCGTGGTCTCCGTGGCGTAGCTGTTCCGAACCTGGTCGGGGCTGGTGTGCACAGGGAGGGCGTTGTCGTTGGCAGCCGTGTTCTGGCGGCCGCGGCGGCGGAAGCTGTTCAGGAAGCTGAACTTGGCGCCGGAGCCCGAGGTGTAGTTGTTCTTAGGGCTTGGACCAAAGCGCTTCTCCTTGCGGTGGTGGCGGGCCAATGCGACTTCGACCAGGATGGAGATGATGAAGAAGATGCTGATAAGATGTTAGCTTTCTGGTTCTTCTTTCGAAAAACCTTGAGACAAAGAAACTTACATCGCGACAATGGAGACGGCCAAGCAGGCAGACTGCAGTTTGCAAGCGGTGCGAAGGCTAGGCAGATGAGTCCAGCCGTCGCTGCCGGTGTTCGTCGGCTCACCGTCGGCGGGGCCAGTGCCGAAGGGAGTGTTCACAGTGCCGGAGCACGAGTTTGCGCCGTCCTTGTTGGCGACGGCGACATAGATGTAGGCGGCGATGAAGGCGACGTCAAGGACGATGGCGATGAACGAGGTGAAGGCGTGACCCGCGAGGCAGCACAACAGGAGCAGACCGATGAGGGTGTAGAGGGTGGCGGCGCCCGAGATGCCCTCAACGGCGCGGATCGAGGTCGATATCGGCAGGGAGTGGTTGTGCAGGGTCGCGAGGAAGTAGGAGAAGATGGCGAGGATGAGGGCCGAAGAGCCGAATTGGACTCCGCGGACGAACCACTGGAGGAACTTCAAGGCGAACGCCATATTCGGTAGCTAGTTGGCGTGTCGATGAGGGTTAGGTTATTTGGTGGGTTTGTTGATGTTTGGTCGGTTTACTGGGGCTGAGATGAACTACCTGAGGTAGGTTTTGTCCTTGGACGGGTGGAAGGGAGAGAGGGAAGAGAGTGGAAGACGCTTAATAGGTTTTAAAGACGTCTCCTCCCGCTGCCGGCAGTGGTGTGAATGGGTCTGCCGATCCCGCGTTTACGTCGATCGAGGCAAGGGACAGCGTCCGCCCCTCTAAATTTGTCTTGGGCCGATCCATCCTTTTTCTCACTATGTACCCTGAAGCGAACAGCAGCGCGGAATAGCCTTAATTCTCTTTGACACCGCGGACACGCAGCTTCCAAGCAGGTTTGGACGAATAGAGTGACGGAGTATGGGCGTCAGGGCTTGGTACCGGGGGGCGCTGTTTGCGGGCGATGACGAGGAAGGTTGTGGCTGACGGGCCCAACTGCTCCCTCTCCTGGTGGGGGGAGGGTATGATGTCAGACGTCTTGGAGGGGCACACGGGGCCGTGATTGGCTCGGATGGGAAACGGCTTCTCCACGTCTCTGCCGGCACGGCCACGGTGCCCAGGTGCAGCAGTGTGGCTTCGCGGGGGGCGGGTGGAGTGTTCAGTGTTCGGGGACCGTCGGCTCTGGGGTGTTCCCTTCTCACCGGCGGGTCGTTTTACAAATTGAGTGGGGAATTTCACGGCAAGCACGGGAAGCACCCAGGAACAAATGATGAAGGTGGTGTTCGTGACTGGAATGGAACGGGGAAGCCGGGCGGTTTCTTGACGGCCAAAGTCTAAGAAGGGCACACTTTTGTTTACTCGTTTGCTTCCTTCTCGTCTGGATGCTGCATTAAATTCAAATTCGATGAATTAACCAGGAGGATAATCAGTGGTGATGAACTAGTACACACACCGTTTGAGCATCGCGCGTGTGTGCCTGGACGACATTACGATTTTCAGACACTCACGTCTGAGGAATCCCCAGAATTTGTCCACAATTCGACCCTCCTGTTCCACGTTGAATTTTCTTCTTCTTAGCTGAGACCCGTTTGATCCGGCTTTTGGCACAAAGTCGGTCGGGAACACCTGTACCAAAAGAGCGTACGCGTTTGCCCAGCATGTCTCGGTTTGATGGCCAGGACCCGGCCGCTGAAGATCATTGGCAGGCTGACGCGCTGCGCTGCCAGGTCGGACCTGTCGATTAGACAGCCGATAAGTGGAATACGCTCAGCTGGACGGTTTTTTTTCTCCCTGCCGTCAATAATTCCTGCGAATAATTGTTTCTTGGCTGTGTTCGGGGCTGGACCTGAGCGTTTCCCCTGCATCTCCCAGGGTTTCCCCAGCTCCGGAGGATTGCTCTTTCTGTTGGTTGACTCGCTCGCTCCTGGATAGGTCTGGCCATCGGCCAGCTTCGTTCTATGTGTCGTTTGCTGGAAACGAACTTATCCACCAGGTTTCGCATGAGAATGAGTAAAGAAAAGGACAGAAAGCAGCTGTGCGGATACTTGGTAGTCACGACCAACTCTCTGCCAAGCTACGCCCAGCCAGGTTCGGGTTGTCCGATGTGCCGAACTAGACGTCCGGTCGCAGACGGACGCTCTCTAGTTATGATGATATCATGTCGCCGCGGTCGCTCTTGGCTTTGCTTGTGTCAGGCTCGGCAGCTTTGGGGAGTTACTGCCATTCATCGGACGGTTCAACTGAACACCAATCGAAACTTCATTGATGCATATGAAGGAACCTAGCTTCGCAGTACATAGCAAGCCTATTAACATTCATCATTTCGTCGGCCGGATTTCTACTCGTCTACCATACGGCCCGAAACGGGTCTGAGTGATCGACTTCTGAGATTTTCTGGGTGAAGTCTGCAGGAGAAAACACATGGAGTCTTTCGTCGTTTTCGTTGTAGAGTCATACGTGAGGGCTTTCGTGAAATTCGGCGCCAACTCGGCCGCCTCCGGCACTTGCTGTGCGGTTTCCATCGGAATATTCTTCTAGTTACCGGGATTCGTCTTCTTCGACATCCGCTAGGGAAACGCCCGTTCGGTCTGGGTCCGACCTGGAACGAGCCTCAGCTCGAGGCCTGTCTCCGTGCCGGGCGGGGCTAACCGCGGAATCGGGTTCCGTCTACGGACTGGTCCAGCGCGGACATGTTTAAAGCAGCCGGCAGCAAGTTGCGCTCATTTCGGGAAGCTCAAACTGCTGGCAAGTAGGTTATCATAATGCACCTCAACCTAGGCACACTCTCAGAGTATGCCCGCAATAGTAGTGTTCCCCCTAGCGGATCCCCGAAAGAGGCCCTAAAGTTGTCGGATGCGTCTCCGAGATTACTGCAATCCAAGAACTTGGGTGAGAGCTCTCCAATTCCCGTCATTCACAATAACATAGACGCCAGAATTGTTTCCAAATTATTCGGCCATTTGCTATGGTGGTAGTGGTGTATGTGATGCGCATGTCCTATAATTGGACAGCCGTGTATATTGCCCGCTGAGGACGTCTTCAATATGGTTCTCTCCGGCCACCTATCGATAGCCAATTTATTTTACACATACCTCGACAATCACAAAAACGACCTGAATGATGACATTTCTTAGCTGATTAGTTGGGTTCCTGAACACAGGCTTGTACGAGGTGAAGGTGAGAGTCGAAAAGTCGCGAATACTCGGGGAACAATGCAGAATACCGGTGCTGGATGCCGGACGATGAGGACGCCAGAGAGAAGGCTGAATGGAAAAAGCAGAGTATTGGATGTTGGAGGAGATGACATCTAAGATAAGAGAAACCCACAGGACGCTTTATGTAAGAAGAGGGTACGTATGGAATACGAAACTGGCTACGTCTTCTGTGCCGTTATTTTCCTTGACATCGCCATTACCGTCTTACATGCCGTACTCGATCCCCGACGGAGTTGTCAAACTACGTGCTCTAGGAAAGTCGCTCTTCTTACTCGACATTATCTCCAATTGGACATAAACAGACAGGATCCAGATCGAGAAGGTAGAATACAGGGGAATACAAGTTAGCTACCAAACCGCTTTACTCGTAGGCTCCAAAGAATGTGCTTCCTCTCATTACCTTTCCTAAGAGTTCTCAATCAACTCCCAATGTAACCTAATTATCTTCTACCTTCTGTATACAATGACCTCCACTTTACGAGAGGTTTTCCAGAAGTCCTTGATCAACGCTGCATACACCCGATTCCCGAGACAATGGTAACTCTATGCCGGAAGACCTGTATCCTCTGTTCCGATCTCGTCGATGAATGCTTTGGACACCATGGGACTTGTGTATCTTGGGTCGTCCAACTGGCCAAACACCTGCTTCATCCATCTGTCGAAATGGTGTGTTGTCCAGAGGTGGTTATACCAGCCTGAGAAGTGTATCATCTTCTCCATACTGAACTCTCCAAAGGGATGAGGGGGCATCTTCCACGGTTGGTAGATGTTGTTCGGCTTTTTAAACTGTGAGTCAATTCGGGCGTTGACGTAGTCGATAAGGACAACCCGGGGCTTATCCAGGAGTACGTCGCCATCCTTTCCTGTTAAGAGAACATCCTCTGGATCGATACGCAGCCAGACGCCCACATGAAGAAGATTGACGTAGCCGTCTATCAATCGCTGTAGGACACCCAGGCGGAAGTCCTCGTCGAAAATGAACTCTGTGCCATCGGCCATTTCAGGTCTCCCTTGATTGCGAACAATAAGATGGTTCCCTTTATAAGTCCGGCGGCACAAGTTCTCAATGCTGGTACCTTTGACGTGTTCGATCATAATGGAACGAGCAAATCGTTTCTTCTGCGAGACCTGCTGGTTGACAGTCGTAAGTTCGATCGCCCATGAGCCGTAAAACTGCGGCGTGATCTGCAGCTTGCCGGTCTTATTCTCAGTCCAGAGATGAGAGTAAGTACCAGCCTCGCGGCTGTGCTCCTGGTCAGCGATGGAGGTTGCCTTCCAGAGACCTTGGTGCATTCCGCCAGGATAGAACATTGCGTCGTAGACCTTGACAACCACAAGTTGGCCTAGAACCAAGCGGTCTCCGATTAAGGTTGGGCGTTCGCTGAGGACAGACTTCTCTTGTTTCTGGTCTTCCGAAGGACCAGCATCGCCTGCATTCTCCGCATCCTGGCGCCAAGGGGAAAGTATGGCATCGCATGCCTGCTTCACACGCCTGGCCGTGTCGTTGAAGAAGTGGCGGATCGACGAGTCTGATTGCATCTTTCCATTGTTGCAAATTTCTGTGTCTCCATCGTACTGGGTATCCTCAACTTTACAGAGAAGTATCTGAGTGCCGGCACCAACACCGCCAGATATGTTGTCCACAACCGTAAGATCGACTTTGGCCTCGACTGGACCAGGGGTGTGATCGCTGATGTAGCGATCGTGGTAAACTAGGGCAGTACGTGTCAGTTCTATCTCTTCTTTTGACAGAGCCTTATCATCGCTCTCGATTCCAGGAGGGTTAGGATATTCTGATAGACCATAAGGCCGTCGCGGAGTTTGGTATCTCAGCACCAGCTTGCGCCCTTCATTGTATTGCTTGAAGTCTTCACGAATGCTGCCATCGCTGATGAGATAAGCATCCTCTGAAGGCGGAGAACGGGGTGGGTTCGTGTTTAGTTGATGACCCGTTGGCTGTGGGATTACCGGCGCCCAAGCTGGCGGCGCTGGGGTTGTCGGCTCCCGAACGGGTGGTTCTCGAATGGGCGGCAATCGAATTGTTGACACGGCGCTTGTCGGCCCCGACGTGACAGGTGGCTGGTCCGTAGTCAAAGGGGCCGGAAACCATGGGTCAGAAGGGTTGTCTAAGTCCGGAGATGCTGGCGCAGGTGACTGATTCAACGGCGGACTGATATCGTTGGAGTCAGGTGAATGAGTCTCCGTCTCGGACGGAGACCGGCTGCTCGCATAGCCGGACGGCTGCGTAGATTGAAGCATTGGAACTGTAAGCTGTGAGGCCGTTTTCTGAGAGTCCTCAAGCAAGATGTCGATGGTATGACGCCAATTGTCTAGAGGTCTTCAAAGGTCTTCGCGGCTTAGACGCTCAGGCGGCTGGCCCTTGGGCGGCACCTTGAATGCGACGTCTGTAGTCGCGTTGGATGGATGGTAGTCTTCGAATCAGAGTGAAGTAATGCGGGTGTGGAAGTGTGTCTACGGATGAGACGTAGTTGAGGTTAGCCTGAGAAAACTCGAAAACCCAACAATGCAAGTAGGTGGTAAGATGTGCTTACGAGTGCGAGGTGGAAAATGGAGGTAACCGAAACTGGCTTAGGAAAAGTCGAAAGAGCAATTCGGTGGGAAAAGCTGTTTATATGAATGTCAGGTAAACAATTGGGGAAATGTTGAGCTTTGGCTGTCGGGTTGCTTGGGCTGCCTTTTGGACTGTGGAGGTTGTCAACATTACCTTGATGATGGCGAAGGTGACAACACGGATAGGAAGAAAACCAAAGCCAAAATGGTTCATCATAAATCCAAGAGGTTTGGCAAGTCTGATTGTGGTGGACTTACCTTATGTTTTGGGTATTGGTTTTTGGAGCTCCTTGACAGTAAATGGAAGGCGCGGCCAAAAGTGGCACCTGAAGTAGCTTTCTGTTTTCTCTCCTTTCGGTTTGTGTTGCCTCTTTGAATCAGACGTACACATACGAACAAGCCCTGAGGTATTTAACTTTGAGCTCTTTCGAATGGGTCGCATGTCCATAGAGTTATCTACCTCCTCCGTTGCGCTGTGGTTACCTTGATGGGAAGCCACGAAAGTTCCCCTACTTTCTGGTTGCCTCCCGCTTGTACTCGTTTATCATCTGCTAGTAAAAAACAGCCTACTGAATACTTTCAAGAAAAAAAAAATAGGGCTCATAGACATCAAACTCTGACTTGGTGAAGGTTACTGGGTGCCTTCCTCGCCTGGGTATTATTCGGTGTGCCTCGGTTTGCTCGGTGTAGCTCAGCTGTTGTCAGCTATATTGCTTTAACCTTGATCCACGGATTCTGAGCGGCGGCCAGTGAGATGTATTCTTCACCAACTAGATCCTCTCATCGCGTTCAAAAACAATGCTCTCAACCGGCCATGTGACGTAGGCTTCGATGAGGGCTGGAGTGACCTTCATAATACAGAACGATCCTCAAACGAATGAAAAATTATCAAATTTGAAAATAGTTCAATCTTTCCCGTACCTACTGCCTGAGAAGCTGCTTACAGCGAATCGATAGATCTGCCTACACGGAAGGTACCTACCTAGATGATGCTACAATGCGCATCTGAGGTTGCCAAACCGTCCCGTGGGGAACATGGCCGGGCCTAACGCCTGCCCCACTAAAAACAGGCCCCTCGACCGGACGTCCAACCCGCTCCAGCGGTCCTCGTCCGACCTCACCTCAATTGCAAACCAACAAAGTACCCCGCCACCACTCTCCTCACTCACATTCACCGCAACGCGCCGAGCAACACGGAACAAACCAACCTTCCCTATCAACATAACCAAACCAACCCGCAAAATCCCCCACGCCAGCTCCGGCACCCACGCAAAAGATGGCCTCCAACAACCCCGACTCCAGCGCAAACCAGTCCGCCGTGAGTGAAGCATTGCCATCCCGTCTCCCCGGCGCAGAACCTCAGACTGCATGAGCACACGGGACAGGACGTGATTTGATGTGTGCCCAATACTAACGTGTTAGGCTCAGACCTCGGAGGACGCCAAGGGCGACGTCAACGCCGCTGTCGAGGAGCTCCTGAATACCATCTCCAACAAGTTTGCCGGGGTGTCGAGTGAGATCTTTGCGAAGAGTGAGGGGGACCGAGTACTGCAGGGGTCTTGAAGCGTCATTGCTAACGTACGGCGCAGTGGACGAAATGTCGCGCCGTCTCGATAACCTTGAGGCCGCGCTACTTGCGAGTAAGGAGAAGGAGGCCGGTTCATCAAAGTCGTCTTGAGTTCGTGCCACTGGCGTTTAGGGGTCATGATGCAGCATCACTAGAGCTGAATGTCACGGGCGGATGCAGGGGCAACGTTTTGAGTTATTCTTGTTATTTTTATTCTTGGTTGTCGGTATCTCAGGCTACCAAAGTCATCAACGCGAGCTAACCCGCTCAGTGTTGCTCACTTGTCAAACCTCCGCTACCCCAGTTACCTTTTGATACATATGTAAAGCGTGACGTCGTAGCAAAAGTTCTCTACAACTCCTCCTTCGCGTCGGCGACCTTCTCCTCGGCCTTCTCGAGGAACTTGCGCAGGATGTTGGTCTTGCTGGTGATCTCGTCACGCTTGGCGGGGGCGAGACCGCCCTTCTTGAGGATGTTGTCAAGGCGAGCAGCCTCCTTCTTGACGTAGCCGTCGTTCTTGGAGAGCTTGTCGAAGACGCGGACGTAGTACTCGGCGTACTTGTACTGGGCCTGCTCCTTGAGAGTCTCGGCCTCCTTCTGGACCTCGGCGGCGGCGTCAGCGAGGCTGGTGCCGCTGGTGTACTTGGCGACGATCTTGTCGAGGGCGGCGATGGTGCCGGCGACGGGGCTGAGGCCACCGCCGGGGACGCGGGCAGTGCCGGCCTTCTCGTTGATGAAGTTGATGAAGTCCTCCTCCTTGCGGCCGCCGTTGTAGAGCTCGCCCTCCTTGGAGCCCTTGGGGAAGAACTTGATGGTGGGGTAAGAAGAGACACCCTGAGCGGCGGCGGTTCCCTTGCTGCTCTCATTCTCGGCGTCGACCTTGGCGATCACGACGCCTTCGTCAAGAATGAAGTCCTCGGCGAGGGTCTCCCAGGTAGGGGCGAGGTTCTTGCAGTCTGTTGGGAGGCGGTTAGCATTGTAGCTACGACAAAGGGCGTGGACAAAACATACGGCCGCACCAAGGGGCAGTGAAGGCAACGAGGACGTCCTTGTCGCCACCAATAGTCGTCTTGAAGGTCTCATCGGTGAGCATGTTCACAGCGCTAGGCGGTGTGTACTTCTTGCGGGGCTTGATGCTAGTCTTCTCGGTGATGAAGTTGCTCAGGGCCTCCAGATCGCGGCCGCCGCTGTAGTCAGTGGGCTGGTCGCTCTTGCCGTCGAACCACTTGAGAGTAGGGAATCCCTGAACCCCGAATCTCTTGCCCAGGTCCCGCTCAGCATCGGCATCGACCTTGGCGATCTGGACGTCCTTGGAGGACTCGAAGGCGTGGGCGAGGTCCTCGTAGACGGGAGCAAGGTTCTTGCAGTGGCCGCACCAGGGGGCGAAGAACTCGACCAGAGTGGGCTTGCCGGACTTCAGGACGACATCGTCGAAGTTGGAGGGGATAAGGTCGAGAACAGCAGACTTGGCAGCAACGGTAGCTGCCAGAGCGCCGAGCACAAGGCTCTTGAGGACAACCATTGTGGTTTATGTGATGCGGTTGATGGTAATAAAAGTTGGCTTAAGAGGTATCCTGACCAACGAGAACGTTATGAGGCTGCTAGGAAAAGATGCAGCTGGCGGGTGGTGGTTTTGTAGGCTGATGCTTTGAAATCACCTTAGCTGTTGAAATATAATAAAGAAGCCACTTTGCAGGACAAGCCAAACGTCACAGAGCAACAGCTCAGCCCCTTGTCGAATGGGGTGGCAGGCGGCTGGCTTCCTCAGCTACGCAGTAACAAGCCCCCCACTAAACAGGGGTACCACCTCTCACACGAAAGATAAAAAAATGGAGCATCAAGGGGAAGGCGGTCAGCAAAACTGCCACGTCTTACCGCCTTCTCCGAAGTATTCTTTATCTTCACGTGACCCGCACGGTCCCTCGCTTCCATGGGGGCAGACCCAACCAAGCCCCGTCGAAATCCCGTAATTCGCACACAAAATTTCCGCTCCATTGGAAAAGCGACAACCACCACGCAGTCAACCCATCTCGAGACTTTCGCCGACACCCTCTCGACGACCACCGCCGCCTCAAATCCGCCAACATGTCTCACGAGTCTGTCTGGAACTCCCGCCCCCGCACCTACGGCAAGGGCTCTCGCAGCTGGTACGAAAAACCCCCGACGCGAATGGAGGAACCTTGGGAACGACTGGAGATCATCGCATATACGCGTGGGGAACGAAGTGCTGACATTTTTTCCCCTCTTACAGCCGTGTCTGCAAGCACACTGCCGGTCTCATCCGCAAGTACGACCTCAACCTCTGCCGTCAGTGCTTCCGTGAGAAGGCCAAGGACATCGGCTTCACCAAGGTATGCGACGAACTCTTCCCCGCGACAGCGCGCACCGCCGAACCGAGCACTGGGAGACCGCGATCGCTAACGCAGGCGCGATTACAGTTCCGTTAAACGTCAGGATTACGAGACGAGGATGGGACTCGAAGGTGGTTGGGCATGATGGCCCGTGGAAAATGCATTCAGACAGAGGGAGGCTTCCAAGGGCACGGAGTTCTTATGGCTGGCTTAACGGAAGAATAAGTGCTTTCCGTCGGACGTCCATTGAGGATAGACGAATACCACGACATTGAACCTACCACCATCAATATGCTCGAGCCATCTGTTCACCCTGTGCAAAGCGCGACGCGATCCTTGAAGTGGCGTGTCGTCTGGCTCCAGTCAGGATGACCCATTCAAGCCTGGGGATGTAATGACGGGGCTCGAGTCTTGCTCTTGTATGTCACGCTGAAAGAAGGTTCGATTCAAAATAACAAAACTTGATCGTGTGGCACAAAACACATATTGTTCTATTGTCCCATCGTCTAAAAGTACATGATTCAAGACAAGGGGTGAAGTAGAGCGGAGATCTTTGAGCCCAAGACCAGACAATATACACGAGCACGAGGGCTCAAAGCGGAAATTTTTGGTTCAGTTGTACATAAATCGTGAGGCATCAACACCTTGTGTGTACAATCCCAATTCCCCCCGTCCGGCTTTTGGGTCGTTTCCATTTCATATGCTGGGAAGAGTGTGTGCTGAGTGCCAACTCAGGGTATCGACTTTTTTTTTTTGGTTTTGAATCCCTTACTCGATGACACGGGTAATGAGACCAGTGGCGACAGTGCGACCGCCCTCACGGACGTTGAAGCGCTGACCGATCTCGATGGCGGAGGGGTTGTGCAGGGTGGCGACCATCTCGACGTTGTCGCCAGGCATGACCATCTTGCTGTCGGCGTCCTCAGTGCCCTCGGGGAAGGTAAGGGTGCAGGCCTCGTCGGCGGTGCGGAGGTACATCTGGGGCTTGTAGTTCTGGTGGAAGCCAGTGTGGCGGCCACCCTCCTCCTTGGAGAGGACGTAAAGGGAGGCAAGGAAGCTCTTGTGAGCCTTGACGGTGCCGGGCTTGGCGACGACCATGCCACGACGGATGTCCTCACGCTTGATACCACGGAGGAGAAGACCGGAGTTATCACCGGCACGGGACTCCTCGCAGGACTTCTTGAAGGTCTCGATATCGGTGACCTTGGACTTGATGACCTCGTCACCCTTGCCGACAAGCTCGACCTCGGTGTCCTTCTTCAGGACACCACGCTCGACACGGCCAGAAACGACGGTGCCACGGCCAGAGATGGAGAAGACATCCTCGACGGACATGAGGAAGGGCTTCTCGAGGTCACGCTGGGGAGTGGGGATCCACTCGTCGACGGCCTTCATGAGCTCGTCAATCTTCTGGACACCGATGTCGTCCTTCTGGTTGTTCAGGGCGCACAGGGCGGAACCCATGATGACGGGGGTGTCGTCACCCTCGAAGCCGTAGGTGCCGAGGAGCTCACGCATCTCCATCTCGACAAGCTCCAACATCTCGGGGTCGTCGATGGCGTCGACCTTGTTGACGAAAACGACGATTCTCTGGACACCGACCTGACGGGCAAGCAGCAAGTGCTCACGGGTCTGGGGCATCTGACCGTCGGAGGCGGCGACGACGATAATGGCACCATCCATGTTGGCGGCACCAGTAATCATGTTCTTGATGTAATCGGCGTGACCCGGGCAGTCGACGTGGGAGTAGTGTCTGGTGTCGGTCGAGTACTCGATGTGGGCGGTAGAAATGGTGATACCACGCTTGCGCTCCTCGGGAGCCTTGTCAATGGCACCATAGTCGAGGAAGCTGGCAAGGCCCTTCTCGGCCTGTCTCTTGGTAATGGCAGCGGAAAGAGTAGTCTGGAAATGGTCAGTTTTACAGCGCAACCGCGCGAGATATCGTGTCGTAAAGTACCTTTCCGTGATCGACGTGGCCAATAGTACCTAGAAGGCGTCCCAGTCAGTTTAGTTGCTCACTGCAGCCGGAATCGGTTTGGCATACCAATGTTAACGTGGGGCTTTGTACGCTCGAAAACAGCGTACGAGCGGTAGACGTTGAGGACAGGAGAGACGTTCTGCCTCTTCAGGGCGGCCTGGAGAGGGCTCACGTTGCCCTGGCGCAGAGAGGCGCGCGCGGTGCGCAAAAACGGCGCAACCGATCTGAAAGCGGTCGACATTTTGGGTATGCGGTGTTTCTATTAAAGAGTAAAGAAGAACAAGAGAAGAAGGAAGGGAGGGGAGATGGATGGTGGGATGCTCGTTGTCGACAACGGCGCGGATGGACGGGGAGGAGGTTCGGAGTCGAAGTCGAAGTCGTCCGATTGAAAGGGCCTCGAAATTTTTTGCTTGCCGGGACTTTCCTTTTCGTCCAAGAGGATGGGGGAGCTCTGCTTGAGCTCTTACGCCATTGGCGGTCCAGAGCGTCAGTGCTCTTAGCTGGCCCCACCACAGTGAGCCATTCACGCGACTTCGCGTTGACTCCCTTGAGTGCTAATGCCTGGTAGTTTACTGGCTAGACAACTTCATGAAGTCAGAGACTTGCTGCTATTCAAGTACGGGAGACCGCTTGGAGAATTTCTTTCAACTGCTTCGGCTAGTCTTGGTGATGGTTTTATTGCTTTCCCCATATTTCGTAATCCAGGTTTGTAGACTTTGGAAGGATACCTAACGCGTGAGACCTGGCAAAGCCATTCTAGAACAATTGTGTTCGAGTTTCCAGTTAGTAGGACTCTAATCAATTAGCGAGTAAAACCTGTTTTCCCATCACATTTTAGATTAAACGCATGTGGGTACCTGTGCGATCCAACCGCTGAGTGTTTAAGTGAGTGAATAACAGTAGGTAATATTTCCCAAAAGATTACGGACGACGAGTGCTGTTCTGTTCATCTACCAGACTCGTGCCCCGCTTTCAACTCCGATCTATCCCAAGTTTTATGAACCCCAGAACCAAAGCCCAAAATGAAACCAAAACCAACACTCCTTCTATCATCAGCCGTGCCAGCCAGCTGACTAGATACCAAAGCAGCCCGAATACTCCTCAGTCCTTCTGTTTATTCCTCGGCCCCAGCCCTATCCAGGTGCCTAGTTGAAATCATCAAATAGACAAAACACATGACGGTGTCCAGGCTGGCGAGCCGGAACTGACAAGGACCATTGGTTCAGCGCAGAAAAGAAGCCGGAATGCTACTGCCTCCCACGGATTTTCTGCCAGAGAGCTAAACTCCTTGGGTTCACGCTCACTGACACCGTTGTCGTTGCCGGGGGCACGGGTAGCGGTCCGGAAACCATGTTAAGCACTCGTCGCAGGCGTCGTCGAGGTGAATTGTCTGCCAGACGTCGCGTTTGGCGCACGGCTTCTGGATGAGGCTGGCGGGTTGGCAGAAGCGGGCGAAGTTGAAGGAGGAGTGCTTGCAGGCGTGTGCGTGTTTGTAGTACTGGCACATGTTGAAGATGTGTTCCGGATATGAGATTGAAGAAACAGCGTCTTCGGGGAAGAAGTGAGTGGCCGAGTTTGTTGGTCGACGATGGTGACGATGGTCTTTTCTAGTTGATGAAGGGAGTACTAGACCAAAGATGGCCGACTTCTTGCAGTATCTGCTTTCGTAAGGAATGTAGCGTCTCTAACGGGCGTTGTCAGAGTGCGAAGTTGATGTTAAATCGAGAGAATGAATGCGTGAAGAACACAAGGTGACAAGTCGCTATGGAGGTATAAGTGATTGGCTGGAGTGAACGAGGGTAAATATGTTGGTTCGAGTGGTGACTCTCCACGAACTACTTTGGGATGCTAGGAAAGCCGGGCCAGGCGCCCATATTTGTAGCCTCATCTCAGACAATTCGAGACCGAGGGATCATTGCCCCCATATCGGGCATCAACCCGAGAGCACCGGCGTCACTTCGCTCACACTCGCAAACTTCCGTTTGAAGCGCTGTGGGAAGCCTTTCCCCCTTCCTGCGGCACACGAGCCCGGGTATCAGGGACGATGTAAGCAAGCCCAATGGGACGTCGAGAACGTCGAGATCTAGCAATCTGCTGCCAGAAGCGGATGCTGCAGCGTCCCGTTCCGGAAGCAAACGCTGAACCGCTCAGGGGGAATCTGGAAGGAAGCCGGTAAGCTAAGATGAGCTTGGAACTGTTTTCACTTGAGAACAGAGAGACAGCCGGCAGGGGAACTGCTTCGGATACCGTTTATCCACGCCCGCGATTTGACAGTTGGCGTTTGGTGGGTTGCACTGGCTGCCCATTGCGTCCACGTGCCAGCAGTCAGCAGCACATGAAGTGCCCAACAGCGTCATGATGTCTTGGGACGAACTCGTGCATTTATCGGGCAAGTTGACCCGACTTAGATATGACCCTCTGGCTGGACCATTTCGAGAAGGTTGGCCCAGCGCTGGAGCTTGATCGCAGTAGATAGGGCTGCAGCCTCTGATCTTGTCATGCCGTGTGACGAATGAGGTATTCCGAGTGAAGTTTGGATGAGATGACGGAGAGGTGGCTTCGGGTCGAACTGCGCTGTGGCTTACGGTGACACTGGGGCTGAAGGTTGCCTCCTTGAACAGAACTGCCAGCGCATGCCGATGGATGCATCTGTGCTGCGACCTGGACAACTATGTCGGTGACATGCACATGCAGTCAGTCGGCTAGTTGATATAAGTAGAGTTGTCGTCAAAGGCGGGGACTGATGGAGGCAGGGTCTTTCGTCGTCGGTTTGGGAACCTAATCCTGGCAAACTTCCAAGTGTACGATACAATGCCTTTCCAGAGTAAGAGACGGTTTGCGTGTTCCTAAGTAAGTATGATGAAGAGTCGTGTGAGTCTCGGGTAAAGTATTCTTCACCGCTAGTCTTGATGACCTACTTGTGGTCACTGCCCACTCCTGCATACGTCAGGTAGTGCTTCAGACGAGATGCGTGACCGGAAAGCCTGCAATGAAGTGCTCAGGCTGATAAAAAGAAGTCAACTCGGCCTTGGGTGACTGCGAGGGGGATGGTCGCATATATGACGGCCAACTGCAAAGCCCGTCAAGGATTATGTGCTTGGCCGGTTAGCAAGAAAACCCCAAGAGTCCCTCCCGATCTTTCAAAGGATACTGTGTGGTCAAAATGGCCTTCACTTGAAGCCATGCCGACAGAAGAGAGATGCCTGGTCGTCGGGCACCGATGTACTGGCGCGGCGTAATTGCAAAAGCTGGCCCGTGACGAGAAAATGCTGCAGCTGTTGGCCGTGACTGCGCAATTGTAAGATGTGTTGGCACCATTGAGCCTCCTACTCGACGGCGTCGACACAGCAGGCTGGCGATCCCGACCAAGATCAGAGGGACGTACTCTGTACCTCTGCTGAGAGATGAAAGAGTTATCTGTACAGATCAAAAATGAAGGTGGCTGGGATGCTGAGGGTTCGGCACAGGTGGACGTTCCCTGCTTTGAGAAGGCGCGCCGCGTCCCGTTGGCCAGAGCAAAAGATGTTCGACGCTAATGCCATCTAGGGTTAGCTCCGGCCGGGTCAGCACGAAACAGGGACCACGGCCAGACGTTAGATGGTCCTGTCGACGATACGTACCCTACTTTTTTTGCGGGAGCACCGAGGAGCACAAGTTATCCCTCGGCGAGCGGTTGTGCCATTTCGCATCGTCTTGTCCTCGTACAAGAAAACTTGTGCAACCTGTATCGGCGAATACACCACGCTGTTTAAGCAGCGTTTGTTTCGGAAGGTGGGCTGGGTGTTCTGAAACCCCAGATGGAAGTGACAGTCGCACGGGCTCCCCTCCCCGTTGGTGTTCGAGGACCACGGAATAGAATGGGTACTCGAAGGTCGACATTTGACCACGTTGTGTTCCTCCAAGATGCTCAAGCGGCCAGATCTTCTCCATGAGATTTATGTTGTAACCAGCCACGGCGGAAGCCAACGGATGAACGCTATCAGTCGACGAACGGCTAGCCACGAGAGCGATGCGCAAAGCGTCTGTGTGGGCGCATGTCGACTTCCAGACTGATGCGAGAAACATGTCTGACGAGGCAGACAAAAGCAAGCATGTCAGCAGCCGAGACGGAAGTGCGTGCGGGAAGCGAGATGGCATTTTTCTTGTGTCTCAGCCGCGGATGATATGAGATGGACGGCGCGTGAGGTGTACTTTTTCGAAACTGGTTTGCATGCATCCGGTATCGCCTGCATCTTGGCCGTTGCCGCGATAATTGATAACTGCCAGAACTATGTGTCGAAGCAGATTTATTGTGGTCTGCGCTCCGTCGGCCGCGTTAGTCTGATCGGATACTTAAAGAGGGAGCAGGTGGTCGGTAGTCGACCTGTCTCGGGCACCATCCCGCGCGTCAAGATGTAGGCGCTATCGTGTCTCGGCGTCAACTTTGGGCAAACGCATTCAGGGTCCGGATGAACGAGGCCCAAGACCAGTCATGCGGAAGTTGAGATGGCAAGTGATGACTGGGCAGTTCAAGTCTCAGCCTGATGCGATGGCTAGATGAGATATTAGCAGAACCGTTGTACGTTCGGCGAGCAGTCTTGAAAAGGGAAGATGCCGAGGATGGAAGTGGCAGATTGGAGATTCAGACACGAAATGCAAGGAAGAAATCCCTCCTTGCTCTTGCTCACCTTTCACGGATACCTTACTGCCAGTGATACCTAAGTGGTGTCTCTGCCCACCTGGTTGGGGGGCATGGAGCTGGGGCAGGTCGATGGATGCCATCAAAAGCGGGCCTTAGGGTCCCAATTTAGCGCATCTTTTTTACCCCCGTGGTCCCGTCCACGTCCCAGTTCGTAGGAGATGGAACGGCGCGAAATCGAACGCTGCCTCGCCTCGCCTTTTTTGCCTGCTTTGTTAACCTCTCGTCTTTATTCCTGCCGTACGGATACTGCGCAAGCTCCAACTCCAGCTCCAGCTCCAGTTTCCAGCCCGAGCTCCAGCTCGCTCTGGACAAGCTTCTTTTCGTCTGGTTTTTTTTTTTTCTCCCTCTGGTTCCCTCGCCTTCCCCAGCCTGCGTGCGCTTACAAGGTACTTCCCTCTTCTCTCCGCCGTGTCCTCCAGCGTCCTTCCCAGCCCCGGCTTTTTTGGGTTGATGTCACTGGCTTCCTCACTTCTTTTGCTTCCTCCATTTTCCGCCCAATTCAACGACACACAACGTCCCTACAGTCGCCCTTCTCTACGTCAGGTACCCGGCTTTCCAATACCACATTGCGCGCGCTGCGGGTAGTCTTCCGAGAGTTGGACAACTCATCTTGCAGCATCTCTCACCCCCCTCAACCAACCGTCCACCATCGATCTAATTCGCTGTCTTGCTTCTGGTACCACCTCAGTCACCATCGCCATCGACCCTCCCACTTCATCATCTCATCTTATCGACATCCGGCCTCGACTACACCTCGCCCACCTCTCCCCAGTCATTCACGCCCAGCCTGTGTCTGTACCCAAAAGAGCGCCTCTATTCCCAGCTGCCCTCGGCTCTCCAGCTGGAACTCCACGTCCAGACCGCAGCTGCTCTCGCCCAGGCCCACACTCGTTCATGCACAATACCACCGCACGCCCCGGCCCTCCTGCGTCTTGGTCTGCAACTCCTTTAGGGCACATATAACCTGCAGCTACCTACATTACCTTACATTACATCGCCTGTACCCATCTCAAAACTTGTCCGAGTTGCCGCTGCCCCGTCGATCGACTCCTTTTCGACTGCACTCGAGATGCCCTCATAGCGGGAAACTTGATCACAGCACCTCGTACCACCCCCGACTCGATCACAGCAACTGTCACCGGCCGCAGCTTCACCGAACCTCGTCCGTCTTGCGCCCATCTTGACATTGGCAGACGTCCGGCTTCTTAATTTCGCCCCCGCCGCCTCGCCTACCGTCGGCCTTTCACCGCTTTCTTCTTGACCGGCTTGTCCCTTCTTACACTCGTTTATGCTCCAGGGATCGCCCTCGCAGCCCAATTGACAGCTTCTACTTGCCTTCGCCTCTAATAAGTCTCCACGACGACAGCTGAAAAAACACCCGACCATTGCAATGCTCTCGGCGAAATCAGGCCAATCCTTCGTCGTTTCTTCATTCGAGCATAAGTCTGTCTCGTCGGCTTGCTAGTCGTCACCTGCACCGAGAAGTCGTTCAATTGGTCACAGTTCAGGTCTGACATTGTTTCTAAACCTACTGTAATGTATTATACCCGTGAGTTGCTAACCCTCAATTGCTATCACTATATGGATGATGTCTAATTGACGCTAGCAACTTCAGTATCGTAATCAACTGAGACGCAAAAGCCATACGGCGGGTCGAACCTCCCTCCGATTAGTTGAGCTCTACTATCATCACGGGCAACATTTGGGATTCTTCGTTCTGTCCTGTCTGAACACTGGCTGCGAATCATCACTTCGCGTTGAGGCAGTACCTGATTATTCCCTTCACAAGCACTCAGGGCTGTAAGCAGCAGCAGCCTTGATACTCACATTCAGCGACATATCCGCTTGAGAATTATCAGAGGCCGCTCACACACGAGTAGGACCCGACCCACTTCACAACCGCCGTTCGTTCACACTCGCAGAAAGCCTCAATGGCTTCTTCCGAGGTTGATCAGAAGTTCCTCGGGAAGTGGGCCAAAGCTGTCGAGACGGACAATCCTCTATTGTCGTCGATGCTCTACAAGATTCTGGGCCTCTCTCTCAGCCTGGCGGAGCAGCTTGTCGTCGCGAAAAAACAACGTCGTCCTGATCCTTCCCGCGCGCCACAGTCACTCGACCTCATCTTCCACATAATTTGGCTTTCGAGAGAAGGCCTCGTTATGCTTCAGCAGTATGTAATACCTATGGTCGGTAACCACACTGAGCTTCGAGTTTTGGCCTTGAAACTGCGAGCGTCGTTCTATCACATCTTCGTCCTATTCCATAATAAGCCGGCCGTTTCGACAATGGGCATCTCGACTCCCGACACCATGGCTGGTCTTACGCCACCGAGACTGGACAAAGGCAAGGGAATCGCGAGGGAGGACTGGAACTCATCACAAGGTTCCATACAGCCAACACATGCTCTCGAGGGTGGCCCGGTGAACCCTCCACCGGGATTCGCGCCTCGAAAAGGGGCAGACCTTCCCGCCGCCTTCTTAGAACCGCCGCGAGACTTCCTCCCTGAGGCCCACAAGTACTTCAAAGACGCCATCGCCCTTGCCGACGAGCACCTCTGGGGGTCGCACTCATTGCGACTCTCGGTCAAGACGGAGTACGCCGCCTTCCTATACGACTGTGTTCACGATGCCGACGGAAGCCGCAAGCTGGCCAAGGACACCATTTCCGAGGTGTACGAAGCAACGGAGGGCATGGACGATGATATGTTCTCCGACGCCTGCGAGTTGGTCACCGTCTTGGGGAAGATGATGAAGCGTGGCCTGGGATCCAGCAACAACACGTTGACTCAAGGACCGAGTCCCAGTCCGGCACCGCCAGGCACCACCATGGCACCCGGCATGGAGAATCCAATTTGAAAGGCCATTGGCCGAAAAGTCTTGCACCCGGCCTTCCGCACAAAGGCTTATCGTCGAATGATCGACTGTCCCAGTCAAGGCTAGAAGACGTCGACCGACATATTGAGCCTCAATATGGCGCTCAGCTGGATAAAGGCGAATATTCAGCATAGCTTTGCGCGCCAGAAGGGGTTTCAGAAGGCGCATAGCCTCGACGAAAGGCTTGGTACTCGAGGCCTCAGACCTTCAAATGTACAAAATTTGCTGTTCCCATCGGACGTCGGACTAGGCAACCCCGGCCGAGAGGTCAATCTGGGACGGCCTTGGAGACCTTCATCGGCACAATGCTGACACCCAAGCCCTTGGACAGCATATCAAGCGGCGTGAGCGCCCTACAAACATCGACATCGAGAGCTCTTGGTAATCATCAAAGCCTCAACTTGTACTTATAATTTGGATACGGGAGATTTGGTTGAGGAGACGAGAAAAGAAGATGGAAGGGGGTCTTCACCGATCTGCGTTGGCGGTTTTTGACTTGTTTTAATACTTTGTTCCACAGATACCCCGTTCTGCGCGGCGGATTGTACTTTATATTTTTTGGTCATCATTCGAGGTTGGAGATTCTAATCCATCATCACTTTCACAACCCGCCGTCATGCTGACAGGGACCAAAAGAGCAAGAGAAATCAAAAGGGGGTATTTTCCATTTCGGCGCTACGAAGGACCCAAACCCAGGATCCGTCCGATATTTCCCATTCCTCGAACTTTTTGTGTTGAAAACAGAGAGGCCAAAATCCCGAAGTAAAGCAAAAAGTAAAGAAAAAAAACCCAACCATCATCTATCTAATCCGCTTTTCCCCGGCGTCGCCAATTTTTTGGTATGATCCCATTCCCCGGGAGGGAGGGTCCCGTGATATTCCCAAACAGCAAACAAAGGAAAAAGGTCTTTTCCTTTTCCTTTGATCCTCCAGTCATGATCGTTTCGTTCGTTATTTGAACCCCTCTTTTTCCGTACCGAAAGAAAGAAAAAAAGAATCGCTCGCTCGAGTCGTCGTTCACCCATTCCCCGTCCAACTGATATCGAAAAACCGTCATCATCATCATTCATCAATCATTCCGCCAAACCAGAAGCTGAGAGGATGGGAGAAGCGTAGTGGCTTGAGAAGGATAAGCTGGAGAAGAGGAGCGCGATGAGAGAGGTATGAGATGGGAACACGCGATCCGCGTCGTCAGTCCTCGTCGCTGAGGAGCGCATCATCCGGGATCTCGGGCCGCTCGGAGGGGTCAAGCAGCTCGTGGCTGCCCGCCACGGAGGAAGCCCAGCTTCTCACGCCCGCGGCCTTGCCCCTGTCCTCCTCGGCCTCGCAGCGGGCCTTGATGGCGTACAGCGGGACCATGCGGCCCGTGACGTTGAAGAAGTTGGCCTGCATCTCGAGCCACCGCGTCGCCTCGCGCCTCGAGGCCACGGCCGCGAGGACCTTGTCGTCGCGGCGCTGCTGCTTGTCCGCCGGGCTCGGGGCGCGGACGGGGACGGCGGCCTTGGGAGGGTACAGGGCCGGGTGGACGTGGCGGCGGATGTAGCGCTCCTGGCGGACGAGTTCGCGCTCGTAGTAACCGGGCTTGTCGGCATCGTCTTCGCTGGTAGCGGAAGACGAAGAGTCGGACTCGGACTCGGTGTCGCGGAGGAGGTTGATGCGTTCACGGTAGGAGGACGAACTGTTCTCGTCGTCTTCCTCTTCAGACTCAGACTCCTCGGGTGCTGGTTCCTCCTTGGCGGCTTTCTTGTGCCTTTGCTTGTGTTCCTTGGTCTTTGCCTTGGTGCATTCGACGACAGCATCCTCCTTTGCCTCCTTCTGTTTGGGCTCCTTTGTCTTCTTCTTTGTGCATTCGGTAGTCTGCTCCTGTTTGGCCTTCTTCTTCTGTTTCTTCTCGGCCTTGGTCTCGGGCTTCTGTTCCTCCGTCTTGGCTTCGGGCTTCTTCTCCTCAGTCGAGTCTTCCGTCTTCTCAGTTTCGGTCTTGGCGTCATTGCCAGACTCAGTCGAGTTTGCGTTGTTCGCCTTTACCACGTGCCAGCGCTTCTTGACTTCATTCTTTCCGCGGTTAATGGCATTGCCGATAGACGCCCATGTCTCACCGCCCTCCTTCATGCTGAGGATCAAGGCATCCTCCGAGGGTGTCCAATTGCCAGGATTCGATGACGGCGCGTTGGAAGAGGCGTCCCCGCTGGAAGAGGCGTCCGCGCTCGAAGATGCGCCGTCAGTCTGGCTGTCCCCAGCAGATGAGGTCTCCCCGGACGTTGTGGATTCTGCCATAGCCGGTTTGCTACCGCTAGCCTCAGATGAGACTCCCTCAGAAGTTGACTCTTCGCCGCTGGTGCTCTCGACGGTTGACGACTCTGCGGACTCGGTTTCTGACTGGGCGGCTTTGCTCTTCTTCCGTTGCTTCCTCACTACGAGGCAATTGACGTCGGACGACTTCTTCTCCTTGGCACAAGCCTCGCTGTCTCCATCAGTGGAGGGCTTGTCGGCGCTGCTGCTGATCTGCGAGCTCGTAGCATCTGTTGATTCAGCGGAGGTGTCGCCGGCTTCGTCGCTGTCAAGGGTCAGGCCCGGGAAGAAGTCGACCAGGGTGATTGTGCTACTGGCGTCTGAGTCTGAGTCGATGGTGACTGCCGTATGAGAAGAGGCGTCGTCGGTGTCTTTGACGATGGTGACGTCGTGGTGCGGCTTGGAGCCGCCTGCCTTCCGACCCTTCATGGCGGTGTCGACAAGGGGCGCTGGCGAGGTTTGATGTTGAGAGTGGTGATTTGTGAAAGTCCTTGGCGAGGTGACGTGTGAGGGTGTGAGGTGGTAAATGTAGGGTTCGGGTTGATTGATATTAATTGTTTGGATGAAGTAGGCGATGCAGGTCTGTATCCTATTATCACATGTATTGATTTGTTTCCGTCAAATAGTTGATGCTGTTTGTTGTATCCGGCGTGGTATTGGTGAGCTCGTATCGTGGAGGAAGAGGATGAATGGTGTGAGGTGAGGTGGATCGCCAGTTGGCATTGAAAGGAAGGAGGTCAGCAAGGAAGGAGCGAGGGGGAAAGGATAAGTTGGCAGTCCTAGAAGGAGCTTTCAAAAAGTCCGACCTTCACTGTGACGGGTCCAATTGCACTTTCCAAACGGATTTATTTCCAGAATATCCATACTGAGCAAAGGAGGGAAAAGTTACCCGTGGACCGTCAATGGTTTCTGAGAAAAAGACAACAGCCACTGGAAGCCAGCCTATAACCACCGCAAGACAAGGGAAAGTGCCCCTCAAATCTATTAATACGGCTTCTTAAGACCGCCAAAGTGTCAAAACTTCAGTTGAGGTGAGCAATCGAGAACAACAAGAGGGGGGAAGGGCCACGAGCCGGCGTCAGACACATGTACGGACGCGCTCCCAACATGGGACGAGAGGACCAAACGGAAACCTGCTACGGCAAAGTCAAGCAGAGTCTAGAGCAGGCCAGATCGGCAAGAGGAGGGTTCCGATGGCGTCAACCAAATGGCCATGTATAAGCATTTCTAGAAATAGGCGTTAATTGTGCGACGTGCTGAGTGTGAAGTTTAGTGGGAAATGGCGCCCGTTTCGCAGCGGTTCGGGGATATCGAGTTGATGTTATTAACGACCGGGTCAAGGACGGGAAGGTCAGTGGTCAGGGGTGGCGTCCGTTGAGGCTCTCTCTCCCGGGGCTCCCACAGCCATCTTCAGCTCTTCTTCAGCTCTTCAGCGGGTGATTCGCCGTGCGGGCCAATCAGGGTCCCAGCTTACTCATCCCACGGAAGGGTGTGGGGGTCCAGTTGCGCTATTAGTGGTTGCAGGCGATCAACCTGATCAATCGGCCTTTGAAGAAGCCCTTGTTTTTTTCCTCTCTCTTCTCCGAGGAGGAGACGGGAGCATAACCTCCCAGAGTTTGAAACAGACCATCACTCTTTCCCCTTCACCCAATAACCACCTTTTTCTAAAACAAGCACTTTCATCGATTCGCTTGCCAACATGGCAGCGTCATCCTCCTTGCCCGACCTGCCACCCAATTACCTCAAGGCCCTCGAACTGATTAACGAGGCCCACAAACAAGACCCCAGACCCTCGACCGCTGCCGCTGCCGCCTCCGCCTCCGACGCCGACCCGGTGACATTTGAACTTCACTATGCCCGCAAAATGACGCGCTGGCTGGCCGTGCGATGCCCGACGGCACCGCCCGTGCTGCAGCTCGCTTGCCGTGCCCAGCACTTCAGGAGGTAACACATCAACCCATGCTGTCCCTTTATGAAAGCTTGTCCCAAATTTAAGCATGAAGTCTATGACGAAAGATGCCGAGCATATAAGAGTAATCACTTTGTCTGACTCACCCATCCGCACCACGAATCTAGATGGGAGATCCCCCGCAACACGTATCCGATGACGCGCCCGGGCTACCTCACCTGGAGAGCCAAGCTCAAGTCCCAGGCCGCGGCGCAGGTGGCCGAGCTGCTGTCTACGTCCGCCGAGATCCAGCCGGCCCTGCCGCGGGAGGATGTCGACCGCGTCGCCGCGCTGATCCGCAAGGAGAACCTGAGCAAGGACGAGGAGACCCAGGTCCTCGAGGACGTCGCCTGCCTGGTCTTCCTCGACGACCAGTTCGACGACTTCGAGAGCAAGGAGGACATTGACGAGGCCAAGATCATCGGCATCCTGCAGAAGACGTGGGCCAAGATGAGCGAACCCGGCCGTCAGATCGCGCTCAAGATGAACCACAGCGAGAGGGCTCTGAGTCTCATCGGTAAGGCTTTGGCGGGGTGACGTGATGTTGGGTTGAGCTGAGAATCGCGATAAGGGGCGGGGCGTATCGGAATTAAATAAAAATAAAGTGGCATGCATTCTTTCTCTCCCACACTGCAGAGGCTTGCAGGCCTGCAGCCGATTGACAGCAGCAATACGTCCGTGCGTCTTAGCGAGCAGCTCCCCCCTGGGGACTGGGGAACCCGCCATCAGAATCCGCGGGATACCCGGGGTCTCCCCACACGAACCTAAGGGAAGCTGCCCTTCGGCTCATTAACCACCGAAGCTCATGCATCTTGCCTACCCCTCGGTGCCGTTCCATCTCAGACGAAAGAACGGGCGTCCGGGCCGAGGCATCATAGACTACCTCAGGTATGTGATCGTCAACACTTCAGGAAGAAGTCATCTCAGCTTCTCTCAAAAAACAAACCCTTAGGTTTCGCGGCGAGAAAGCGAGAACCTGTATCATGCCACCCACGCTGACGCCGGATGAGATATCGAAACACAACAAACTAGACGACATCTGGCTCGTCATCAACGACCACGTTTGGGACTTCACAGACTTCATCCGCGAACATCCCGGCGGGATCGCAGTCATTCTCAAGTGCGCCGGCAAGGACGCGACAGACGTCTACTCCGAAGTCCACGGCCCCAATCTCGTCAAGTCGACGCTACCAGCCGCCCACCTCAAGGGCGTGCTCGCCGCCGGCGCAAACATGCCCAAACCAAAACAAAGTCAATATTTCCAACCAAGCACCGCCACATCACCAACGCAAGATGAGCAACCTCGGACTCCTCCACAGGCGTCCTCGAAACCGCCGCTGGACACCCTCATAAGCGCCCACGACTTCGAAGAGGCCGCCTCAACCTCCCTCTCCCCCAAAGCCTGGGCCTTCGTCTCCTCCGCCGCGACGGACCTACACACAAAACGCCGCAACGCCTCCGCCTACTCCCTCATCGGCCTCCGTCCCCGCGTCCTCGTCGACGTCAGCGAGGTCGACACCTCGACCACCATGCTCGGCCACCGCATGCGCTCCCCAATCTTCTGCTCCCCGACCGCCATGGCCCGCCTCGTCCACCCCGAGGGCGAAAAGGAGCTCGGAAGAGCCTGCAAGGCCGCCGGCATCCCCCAGACCGTTTCCGTGAGCGCCTCTTTCCCTCTCGCCGACATCCTCGCCGCCCGCGCCGCCCACAACACCCCAGAGAACCCCCACGACCCTCCCGTCTTCTTCCAGCTCTACGTAGACAAAAACCGCGCCAACTCGGAGCGCCTCATCCGCTCCGCCCAGGCCCAGGGCGTCAAGGCCCTCTTCCTGACCATCGACGCCCCGATCCCGGGAAAGAGGGAGGCCGACGAGCGGGTCCGCTCCGACGAGTCCATCGCGTCCCCCATCTCCGGGGCCCGCGCCGGCAACGACGCGAAGGGCGGCGCCATCGGACGCATCATGGGCAACTACATCGATGCCTCCGTGAGCTGGCCCGACGTCGCCTGGCTGCGCCGCACGGTGCCGGGGCTGCCTATCGTCCTCAAGGGCGTGCAGACGTGGATGGACGCCGAGCGCGCCGCGGACGCGGGCGTCGAGGCCGTGGTGCTCTCGAACCACGGCGGTCGCAGCCTCGACACCTCGCCCGCGACCGTCGCGGTCCTGCTCGAGCTGCAGAAGAACTGCCCACACGTGTTCGACAAGCTCGAGGTCTACGTCGACGGCGGCGTCTCGCGCGGGACCGACATCTTCAAGGCCCTGTGTCTGGGCGCCAAGGCCGTCGGCGTGGGGAGGGGGTTGTTGTACGGGCTGAACTACGGCGTCGAGGGCGTGGAGCGTTATGTTGAGAGTGAGTGTTTTGGTGTATACCCTTCATCCGAGCTGAGAGATGAGGTGAGACTGACTGTGCTATCCCAAGTCCTCCGAGACGAACTAGAAACCACGATGAAGATGTGCGGCGTCACCAGCTTAGACCAAGTCCACCCGGGTTTCCTCAACACTCTCGCCATCGACCAGTTCATCCCGGGGCGAGAGGACAACCCGAACACGCCTTGGCGCCGGGATAGACACAGCCGTTTGTGACGAGGCATTTCCGTGATGACGAAATAACTGTATAATCTTTCTCGAGCTTGATGGTGCATTATATCGCATTAGAGAGAGTCGCGGCTCGTCTCGGCCGTGCCTAAAAGGTTTGGGTATACATATATACATAAAGATAGTAATCCATTCATATCCCGTTCTCTCATCCCGTCCCGAACTGCGCTCGTTGGACGGTTTTAACCCACGTTGATTAATTACATAGCATCAACCGTACAAAACAAATAGAAACTCAGCCAACCACGGCCACTTTTCGTCATTCAAGTTCCTTTTCATGAGGATGCCCTCTCAGGCCAACTCACGCAGCTCACCATCACCCCTCGTGGCAGGCAACTCCGACGCGAAGCTCTGGTGACCGTGGTGAGTCGTCTTGGTGGTCTGCTGATGCTGGGTCTGGGCGGGCGGCGCGTAGTAGCCCTGCTGCGGCGGCTGCTGCTGCTGCTGCTGCTGCTGAGGCGTGGGATATCCGGCTTGCGTCGGGCTAGGACCGCCGTTCCCCAGCGACGACGGCGTATACGACGGGACGCCGGACTGGTACGTGGGCGAGGGGCTCATGGGCGGCGGGCTGGCGGGCGGGCTCGGGCTGTGGCCGTTGTGGTCGTAGCCTGCCGCGGTGACGTCGTACGGCTGCTTGAGCATGCTCTGCCTATTGTCGGGCACCGGGGTGAACCCGGACGGGAAGTTGCCGGCGCCGTTGGGGGCGTATCCGGGGGACGACTGCTGCGTGTTCGTGGTCTGGTACATCTGTGGCGGTGGCGGCTGCTGCTGCTGCTGGTGGCCGAGTTGGGGTTGCTGCGGGTTGTACATGACGGGATGTGCTTGGCCGTTGAGGTTGTTGTTGGGGTCGTCCTTCTTCTTCTTGCGGAGGAGGAAGATGATGCCGAAGACGATGAGGGCGATGGCGGCTACGCCACCGACGACGCCGCCCACGATGGCGCCGACGGGCGTGGAAGAGCCGCCGCCGCCACCCGGGGCCGGGGCGGCGGTAGTTGTGATGGGGCCCGGGGTGGCGGTGCTGCTCACCGGGCTCGGCACGACGGAGGACTCGTCAATGACAGGGGCCGTTGTCCTCGGATTCGCGGCCGCGCTATCAGTGGGGTTTGCATAGACTATAACGCGCTTCTCGCTGGTGGCACAATCATACAAAGTATATTTTGAGAAGATGGCATCGGAGTAGACGTAAGTGATGCACTCTGGCTGCGCGGAGGAGGAGCTAGTCGCGGGTTGTTAGACAACGGTTTTCTTGGCATTCTTGGAGTAAAACATGACCAATTGCTTACCAGTAACGCATGAGAGTGTCGCTGCTGGTGTAAAACCTCGACGAGCTCGAGGGCAGACATGCGGTTGCGATCTTGCAGTCCGACATTGATGAAGAAGCACAGCAGCCTACGACGGAGTAGAAGCTGTTGATCACGCAGGAGCCGACGCCGCAGTAGATGGAGTCGGCTTTGTGGGATCAGCGACGTTCAGGTACGATGACCGGCGAGTCAGGTTGCAACTACTCACTGGATATTCCGGAAATGTAACCACAAGTATCGTCGCCCCTGACACGTTTGGCCAGCTTGAGCTCGACGCTGGCCGGGTCAGGCGCCGCCGTCGGTACCGGACTGAGGCCGAGTTCCATCATGTCCATGGCGGCGATGGTCTCCTTGGGAGGGGACCAGCTTGGGGTGTCGTCCTGCCATCTCAAAGCCTTGGACTCTGCGCCAAGGTAGAGGCCAGCAAGGGCTCCGAGCAGAACGAATCTTCCCATGTTTCTTCTTGATCCTCTTCTTTGGTGATAGGATGTGACGGAAGATGATGGGAAAACGAGAATCGAGGAAGAGACGGGTGTCAGAGGATAGAAAAGTCTCGAGGAAAACCCTTGCGGGAAGACAGGGAGAACGGGAGACTGACACGAAGCTCCATGCTGACCAGCTCGGGCTGAATGGTAAAAGTTGCCGAAGCTCGCGCCCTGCGGGGAAGACGAGTGACAGCGGCTTCCCGTCGCCAATGAGGCTCAGGAGAGAAGACACATGAAGGGTCCATCTCCAGCTGTCACTTGCTTGTGCCATGCCCAGGGATATCATGATTGGACCGAGTGGAAACTCCGCCTCGTGAACTGCAGGTATGGAGTGATGGCTTGGATAGTGTTGGCAATCATGAACCTGGCAAGGCAGACCCCCAGGAGATCATTCCTGAGTCACGATATCCGAGACCAACGCACTCGCGATGTCGAACATCTCCAAGCAAGGGAGTCGTCGCAGTTCTGTCTTTGGTCTTTTTAAGCAACTCCTTGAACATTTGCGAGGCATCATGCCAGTCCATCCGAGCGCAAACGTCTCTCGAGATTCACTCGAACTCCGTATAACAACAACTCTCCAAGGCAAAGAGAAAGACGGCCTCTAAAGAGCACAAGAACTCAGATATCGTGTTATTCGTTTGGCATGTTAGCGGTGTGGTGGAGTTTGGCGGTGCCCGAAATGATACTATCAGGAGCTTAAGCCCGAAGAGGAAAATGTGGCTTGCAGCTGAAGGCAGGCTCTGTTCAGGTCCTTGTCAACTCGCCAAAACCACCCAATCGAACGTGGAGCGGCTGAAATACGCGCAGTTAGCTGGGCTGATCATCCCGCACGATACTGCCACGAGAACCACATCAACATGCCGGCCGGGGTCGGTTGAGCCTTGGAAAGTTTCCCCAGCCGCCTTACCTTGCTGTTCAAGACACGATCCCCAGCACACCCACAGCGGAAATCGGAGGCTTTTCGCGGAATTTGTGAAGGGTTGAACGTTTTGGGCAACCATTGCGCGCCAAACACCTGCCTTGCACGCATTCCCAACGGTCCGGTACTCGGCCGAGCGCGAAGCAAGGTCAGGAATGCATGATAAACGTTGTCTACCTCACTCAGGTTTTGGGAAGAAGGTTCCCAAAGTAGACTCCAGAATGCACCACCAATCAGACCCCAAAACCCGACTTCCGGGGTGACGTAGAAACATGCAGTCGTGATGCTTCCGTATTGGCCAGGAATTTGTTGTTAAGTTGTGTGCTCCGGAGCTGTCGGCCCAGGCACCCTGCAAGCCGGAAGAGCCTCGACAGTGTTTCCGACTTGACGAACTGGGAGTGCTTGAGGGGATTCTGAATGACAGCTTCGCGTTTTGCCGAGTATATGATGGCAAAGAGGATGCAATATTGAAGCCCTGAAATGACGGAAGCAGGTTGCAGAGACATAAAGTATGCTGTAGTAGCGCCAAGTCGATTGTCGCAAGGAGCGATTGTCTCTAGTACTGTCCTCAAAGCAACTTCATCTCGTCATGATCCTCGAAACTTGGGCTCCAATATCGGAAAGATCCCAAGAAAGCCTGAGCTTTGAAAGAAGGGGCTGGTTTCGTACGACAACACCCAACGTTGCGCAAGGGGAGCCTAATGTCGGCATAGCTGCCGTCATACTCGTTCCTCTCCGTAAGGCTGACGGGCGTCATGGTGAAGCTCGTTCGTTTACGACAGACGATTGATGGAAGAATTGTCTTGGTAACAGGGCTGGTCGTGCGGGCATTGGACCTTGGGGATCACAACTTACTTTGTCAGGCATCGTATTCCCTACATCGATATTGTCCGACAGCGAATCGCGATCACACCAGGTCTCTTCCAGGCAGGGATCCCGCGAGATCTTGATCTGCAAGTGAGCGAGTCCATTCCCGAATCGTTGGCGCATCTATCCCACGTTCAACCGGATGATCGGTGCCGGCTCCGCCAATTCTTGGGTCCGACGTCAGATGGCTTCGGGACGCCCCCTTGTGCTCGATCGACGCTTGAGTAGTAGTTTGGGGTTGTGTTACAATCATCTCCGGCTTGTTGTGGCTTCCGTACTGCACATCTGAGTAACTATAAGGCGAATTCATCGTCGATGATCGAAATTGCGATTGTATACTAGATCGGCATTCCCGATTCTGACTCCCACCACGGGGATCAACGGTCTTCCTGGCCAGGGACAGTAGCAATGACTGTCAAAGATTGAGAAGAAGATTCGATGTGATACGAACCTTTGCTTGACAGACGAGCCTGGACAGTCACGCAGTCCCACTGTAGTCATATGTACTTCAGGTATTTTCTCGTCGGATTGTTCCAAGTGCTGATGGGCTCGTGCCTCTGTGCCTCCCATCAAGCACAACATGCGCCTCAGCACGAGGGCTTGTAAGCTTTCACAAACTAGCGCCGAGTCATTGGAAACCGGTGGGATGCCGTTCTGCCACCCTGGCACAGCAAGCCACTGGATGCGTAATATGGAGACTTCGTCCGCTGTAGAAGTCTGGCTGTCAAGTATGAGTCGGAGAATAAAACGTCTCTCGAATAGTAAATCTTTACCCAGACAGGCCAGGTCCTGCCGGTTGTGCTGCCCTCATACGTATAATTTCTTGTTCGGGATCATACGGAGTCACTGCGACTCCGGCGGCCTCTGGAGTGCTGGAGTGACGCCACCTCTCAATTTCGATGGACCCAGCATTCTCGACGACCGAAGATCGAAAAGTAAATTCGGGAGATTTTGTCCGTTTTGGATACTTGGTGATGTTGCGTCGTCGGTGTGGTCAACCACGATTTGATACCGAGCCGTACGTATTCGCAGTAGAAGAGAGTGTCAAGCAGCTTCGATGTAGCTCCCCGTGACAACTCCTGTTTCGGATCGTCCGCCGTCCCACTGCGGCAACAGAGAAGTTGCGATAGGCCGGTTTGCTGCAGGGGAACATCCAGATGTCGTCCTACGATAGAATATCGCACCATTTTGACATCAAGTCAACATAGCTGCGACGTACAAGCGCTTCGAGTACCATTGACGCCGCATCTGGCACATTCGACAATATGAAGTGGCACTTGGCGGCCAGACAAATGGCCGTTCAACAACCCAGATGATTCGGAATGTCCGTCAATACGGCGAAAGGGGTCGAAATGGACAATCCAATACATTTTCATCGACAACAGTTGCTGGCAATGGTACGTTACATCGCATTCCGCGATGGTCTTTGCACGTCAGACTTGATCTTCAGCATGGTTGAGCATATGCTTGTGACTACTTGTTAGTGTCAGCGAAAGATGTGAAGGGGGACACAATGTGGAGAGAGATACTGACATCCTCCCCGACTGTGGCGTTGCGTCGGTTTCCATACGTACAATTAAGCTGTTGGTCCGTGGCAAAACCGTTCGGATTGGAGCGGAAACGGCCGTGTTTCTCTTCAGCTTTGTCCGTCCGAACACCAAATTGAGCTTGGACGGCCGTTTGTCAGGGACAACAAAGGCGTGCCAAAGCCGGTGAAGCTTAGTTTCGGTGGCTGGAGAATCTCCCAAAGCCCAAAATAGTGTCAGCACAAAGAACCAGCTGATCATGTCGTTCGAATATGCTGCCCAACCAGGACGACGGAGCCTCAAGCGTAAATATGGATGGCGGGGCGCCCATAGAACATCGACCAAGATCATTCCCAAGCTTAGCTAGTGGTCTAAGCTCCAAGACTCAAGAGAGCGTATCGACGGGATGACCTGCATACTCACCTGTGGCGGGCATTAGTTCGTTGAATATTCTGTCCCGTTGATTGGCAAAGCCTGGCCGGTAACACGTAGCCGCAACTCCATGTATGCGCGGAGGATTGACGACATATCCCATGATTCGGACAACTAGTGAATGGTATCCCCTCTTTCGCACTGCAGCAAAACTCTTGCGTCTTGGCTTGGTGTTGTGCAAAATAAGGCATTTAGAACCCCCGAAGATGCTGTGTGCGCAGACCCAAGAGGGGTACCGTCCGACTGGAACGATGCAGTGATCAGATTTGTAGCCCCAAGACGCCTGGTACCGCTGTCTCAATAACGCATGTCGCACGCAGCGCCAGAAGTTCGGCCACCAAAGTAACTTGCCAAGTGAGGCATTCAAGCTGGCAGTTGTTGTGCATCGAAAGTGAAGACATCGGAACTTGATTCGAATAGTGCCACGGTCTGCTGCATGGCTGCTACTCAAGGCGGCGGCTCCCTGTAGCCGGTGGCATTGTTGCTTGCGGAGGAACGGGCTGTGATCCGACGAGGGGGTGGCGATAGATAGCATTACTTTGGACAGACAGCAAATCGAGTCTCCGGGTCGACTGGTATAGACGTGTCTGGCAAGCACTGGACCAGGCTTGTCAACAGCGCATTTAGAGCATGCTCGTCTTGACCATGTACCGATGTCCGCGAGACCTAGCGTTTGCTCTCGGGTTTCAAGGTATAGTAAGCATCTCGTCAGCTTTGCAGCGATAAGCATTTGGGCTGATTTGTTGAGCTGAATCGTGATATCTGCAAGGCGGCTGTCTAATGTCCCTGCAGATGGCTCCCGTGATGCTAGGCCGCTCTGGCTTGTAACTGTGTGCCCGGTGCCCAGGCACGAGGAATTCTTGCTGTCTTACACGGATGGCGAGGAGGCGGCGATGTCAACAGCGTCGACGCTGTCTATATTTGTGTTTGCGTGTGAGACGCGGCAACCGGAGCTCATAGGCACCTGCAGTGCTCGGGACGGCTGGATCACTAGCTAGCTAGTGGAAGACTAACTCAGATCTGACGGCCGTGAGCTGGCGCCAGTGAACTTTGCAAGGCCTAGGTCAAGGGACCAGCTGGCGCAAGAATTAGCTGAGGTCGGAGATTTTAATCGGTAAGTGCCGTGAAAGCCGTGAGCGCCGCGACTGTTTCGAATGCCAAGCGTCTATCAACCCAGATCGACCGCACAGAAGTCCATCAGGATTGCCATGACGGGTCGACATATG